TGGTACCCTGTGCGAGATGGAGTCAGTTTCCAGAGACGCTGTGCTTGTGTGACATTGGGCCTGTGTAATGTTTCACAGTGGTTGTGTGAACTGTCGTCTGATGTATTGAATTGGGTTACAAGCATGTAGATACGACATGTATGTGATGACAGCTCCTTTTGTACAGAGCACCTAGGAGTTAACCCCAGTGTTTTAGTCGTATTCCATATTTATCCACACCATTGTTCACTATCTAGATAAGAACCACTCTACCCTGCCTTCCCCAAAAGCCTTGCCAAGAAAATCCATTAATAGATAACATGGAAGGTTGGGGTCAACATTTTTAACGCTGCTCAAGTGTTCAACCTAACTTCATAGTCATCAGGTACAAATACCAGTAATAAGTCGCTCACAATAAACAAAACATCCCAGACACATCCCGTAGGATTTGAGCCTTGGAATGAAAAAGGATTAGAGTTACTAACACTTATACTGACACCTGTAATCACTGACACCGGTATATAGAAACTTAGCCTGTGTAGAAGTCACCTGGCTTAAGGATCTGTGCAAAACTCTGAAACTGAAATTCAGGTTTGACATTTTACCTGGAAACATTAATGGATCACCTTCATTTGCAGTGATTTGTAGTTACTTGTATGTAATCCAGAGACGTATTTTATCCTTTGTGATAGTTTTAGAAACCAAATCTTTTACAGCTTTGATTGTAAACCTTATAAACAAAATTTTATTTCTCAACCTCCACTACTTTCCCTTGGAATGGTTTAACAGTAAATACAAAAAAACAAGATTCTAATTGATTTATTAGGGCGCCATTTCGGAGATACGGGTGCCCTATAGTAATCACTCTATCTGTCTGTCTGTCTGTCTGTCTGTCCGTCCACAAATTCTGTTCCTGGCTGATAACTTTGGTATTTATTGACCGATGTACATGAAACTTGGTCAAGATGTTACGTTCACAAAAATACACATTGAGGTAAAAAATCAAGGTCATAGGTCAAGGTCATTAGGTTCAAAGGTCAAGGTCAAATTTTACATCTTTTCACTGATGAACATTTTGTTATGACATCATGAAGCAAAGTTGATCAGAATTAAACAAAGAGTCAACTGACCAAAGGTCAAGGTCATCAGGCAGGGGTCAAGGTCACATTTTGTAGCTTTTTTACTGGTGAACATTTCGCTATGACATTATGAAGCGAAGTTGTTCGGAATCAAACAAAGAGACACACTGAGGTAAAAAGTCGAGGTCAAGGTCATTAGATTCGAAGGTCAAGGTCGAATTTGCATCTTTTCACTGATAAACATTTTGTTATGACATGATGAAGCAAAGTTGATCAGAATTAAACAAGGAGTCATCTGACCCAAGGTCAAGGTCATTGGGTTAATGGTCAAGGTCATTTGGGTCCAAAGGTCAAAGACAAAGTGGATCTCTGACTTTGACCCTGGCTCTTGATGTAGGAGGTATATAAGGTGAAATAAAACAAATCAAAGCTAACAAATGAGTATTGCACCAGTATTTACATTTCTGTTAGCCCAGCAAATATGGAGGTGTAAGGAAACAAGACTCCCATCATAGTACATGTAAAATGTATATTTTGCTTCCTTGCGATTCTTTTTGAAGTCCAAATGTCAAATGTCAAGCTCAGCTATATGGGCAGATTGCTTCTTGATGACTATGGGGAATATATTGCCACAAGACGGGGCCCTTACTAACCTGTCAGTGTTTTAGTTTTTTACAATGTTAGTACCATTGTATGATTAAGTAGTTGTAACACATCTGGACTGGGTTGATCTCTGATGTCCAGTTCAAGTAGGTATATCTCGGCCTATTGTAACACATCTGGACTGGGTTGGTCTCTGATGTCCAATTCAAGTATATCTTGGCCTATTGTAACACATCTGGACTGGGTTGATCTCTGATGTCCAATTCAAGTAAAGCTTGGCCTATTGTAACACATCTGGACTGGGTTGGTCTCCAATGTCCAATTCAAGTAAATCTTGGCCTATTGTAACACATCTGGACTGGGTTGATCTCTGATGTCCAATTCAAGTAAAGCTTGGCCTATTGTAACACATCTGGACTGGGTTGATCTCTGGTGTCCAGTTCAAGTATATCTTGGCCTATTGTAACACATCTGGACTAGGTTGGTCTTTGATGTCCAGTTCAAGTATAGCTTGGCCTATTGTAACACATCTGGACTGGGTTGATCTCTGATGTCCAGCTCAAGTATATCTTGGCCTATTGTAACACATCTGGACTGTGTTGATCTCTGATGTCCAGTTCAAGTATATCTTGGCCTATTGTAACACACCTGGACTGGGTTGGTCTCTGATGTCCAGTTCAAGTATTGCTTGGCCTATTGTAACACATCTGGACTGGGTTGGTCTCTGATGTCCAGTTCAAGTATATCTTGGCCTATTGTAACACATCTGGACTAGGTTGGTCTTTGATGTCCAGTTCAAGTATAGCTTGGCCTATTGTCACACATCTGGACTGGGTTGATCTCTGATGTCCAGTTCAAGTATATCTTGGCCTAATGTAAGACATCTGGACTGGGTTGGTCTCTGATTTCCAGTTCAAGTATATCTTGGCCTATTGTAACACATCTGGACTGGGTTGGTCTCTGATGTCCAGTTCAAGTATAGCTTGGCCTTTTGTAACACATCTGGACTGGGTTGATCTCTGATGTCCAGTTCAGGTAGGTATATCTCAGCCTATTATAACACATCAGGACTGGGTTGATATCTGATGTCCAGTTCAAGTATATCTTGGCCTATTGTAACACATCTGGACTGGGTTGATATCTGATGGCCAGTTCAAGTATAGCTTGACCTATTGTAACACATCTGGACTGGGTTGATATCTGATGTCCAGTTCAAGTATAGCTTGACCTATTGTAACACATCTGGACTTTGGCCTATTGTAACACATCTGGACTGGGTTGGTCTCTGATGTCCAGTCAACGTATAGCTTGGCCTATTGTTACACATCTGGACTGGGTTGATCTCTGATGTCCAGTTCAAGTATAGCTTGGCCTTTTGTAACACATCTGGACTGGGTTGATCTCTTATGTCCAGTTCAGGTAGGTATATCTCAGCCTATTATAACACATCAGGACTGGGTTGATATCTGATGTCCAGTTCAAGTATAGCTTGGCCTATTGTAACACAGCTGGACTGGGTTGGTCTCTGATGTCCAGTTCAAGTATAGCTTGGCCTTTTGTAACACATCTGGACTGGGTTGGTCTCTGATGGCAATTTCAAGTATAGCTTGGCCTATTGTAACACATCTGGACTGGGTTGATATCTGATGGCCAGTTCAAGTATAGCTTGACCTATTGTAACACATCTGGACTGGGTTGATATCTGATGTCCAGTTCAAGTATAGCTTGACCTATTGTACCACATCTGGACTGGGTTGGTCTCTGATGTCCAGTTTAAATATAGCTTGGCCTATTGTCACACATCTGGACTGGGTTGGTCTCTGATGTCCAGTTTAAATATAGCTTGGCCTATTGTCACACATCTGGACTGGGTTGATCTCTGATGTCCAGTTCAAGAATAGCTTGGCCTTTTGTAACACATCTGGACTGGGTTGATCTCTTATGTCCAGTTCAGGTAGGTATATCTCAGCCTATCATAACACATCAGGACTGGGTTGATATCTGATGTCCAGTTCAAGCATATCTTGGCCTATTGTAACACATCTGGACTGGGTTGATATCTGATGTCCAGTTCAAGTATAGCTTGACCTATTGTAACACATCTGGACTTTGGCCTATTGTAACACATCTGGACTGGGTTGATATCTGATGTCCAGTTCAAGTATATCTTGGCCTATTAGGTATATCTCAGCCTATTATAACACATCAGGACTGGGTTGATATCTGATGTCCAGTTCAAGTATAGCTTGGCCTATTGTCACACATCTGAACTGGGTTGATCTCTGATGTCCAGTTCAAGTATAGCTTGGCCTATTGTTACACATCTGGACTGGGTTGATCTCTGATGTCCAGTTCAAGAATAGCTTGGCCTTTTGTAACACATCTGGACTGGGTTGATCTCTTATGTCCAGTTCAGGTAGGTATATCTCAGCCTATTATAACACATCAGGACTGGGTTGATATCTGATGTCCAGTTCAAGTATAGCTTGACCTATTGTAACACATCTGGACTGGGTTGATATCTGATGGCCAGTTCAAGTATAGCTTGACCTATTGTAACACATCTGGACTGGGTTGATATCTGATGTCCAGTTCAAGTATAGCTTGGCCTATTGTCACACATCTGAACTGGGTTGATCTCTGATGTCCAGTTCAAGTATAGCTTGGCCTATTGTAACACGTCTGGACTGGGTTGGTCTCTGATGTCCAGTTTAAATATAGCTTGGCCTATTGTCACACATCTGGACTGGGTTGATCTCTGATGTCCAGTTCAAGTATATCTTGGCCTATTGTAACACATCTGGACAGTTTTGATTATTTCTAGTGACATGTCTATATATATAGCTATATAGCTATGTGGGTGGTCATTTTAGTGTTGTTGATCATTGGTAACCTGGCAGTTTAGTAAGTCTGTTTTAGTATTGTTAATCTTGAGGGACCTGGTAGTTTACTTGGTCTGTTAATAGTTTTGATTTGATGAACATTTAATGAACACGCACACTCAGTAATGTTAAATCTCTCTCCCCCCTACTTCCATTTGCTTGTTCATTCATATTATTGAGGTGGATGATTATAATTGTTTGTAGATATATCAGATTTGTTCAACTGAATGACATTGACTCACTTTAAAGGTCAAAGAGGTGAAATATATTCAAAACTGACACGATAATTGGTCTATATCTTGCTGGATAGATGGGGTATTATGTTTGTTCCAAGGAGCTTTGACCACACTCAAGGTCACCAGGTTTAAATATGTTAAATTTAAAAAGGTAAAAATAATTTAAAAAGGTAAAAATAAAACAAGTTGAGTGTTTAATAATCTGATTTGTATCATTCTAGCTGCTGAGCGACTTCAGGTGAAACACTTCTTCCAGGACTCCGCCCTGACGGAGCACCCTATTGTAAGTTAACGGTGACTGTACAGTACCCTAGTATCATTTAAACTATCTGGTGGTGTTTAGCTCACCTTGTATGATACTGAACCTGTAAGCTTGATACTGAACCTGTAAGCTTCAAATTAAGTAAAGGAGCAACATCTATAGTTTATCCATCTGTTAGCTTTTCCTAAGTTAATCAATTCTTATATAGAACCCTAAAGCCTAGAATCATTATATTTGGTCTGTAACTTGTTCAAATTTATTACCTTGACGGTCTTCCAGGGTCATACAGGAGTCAGATATGTTAAGTATGAAATGACCTATATAGAACCATGAGGCTTTAAGAGTCATGATAATTTTGTTGAATATTTGTTTAGGAATTGTTTATTAAACATTTTGGCCAAAGTAACTTTACCCACTCAAAAGGACACACAAGACATGGGGTCAAATGTTATTAAGAAAGAAACAGAAATCGTTTGAGCGATTATGACACTATGGTCAGTTGTTGCCAAGGTAAAATTTCTACTTTATGTATCAATTATATGTTCAGATCACAGATAGTAAGTTGCCATTTTGTATGACTCAACTGATTTCTGAATAAATGAGCTTTCTTTTAGTATATCTCCATGAGATTTTTTTAGGTCACCTGAGCTTTAGCTCAAGTGGCCTATTGCTATCCGTCTTCGTCCGTCGTTGTCCGTCGTCCATCGTCCGTTAACATTTTACATTTCAAACTTAAAGTCAAGTTCTGCTGGGCCGATTGAACTGAAAGTTGGTAGGAATGATCGACTCATGGTCCTGACAAAGTGTTGGTTATTTTTCGTTTCGATCGGAAATCCAATATGGCCACCATTTTGAAAAACTATTTCAAACTTAAAGTCAAGTTCTGCTAGGTTGATTGAACTGAAAGTTGGTAGGAATGATCAGCTCATGGTCATGACAAAGTGTTGTTATTTTTCGGGTCAATCAGAAATACAATTTGGCTGCTATTGAACTTTTTTACTCAAATTGGTACATATTTCAACAACAAAAATAAATACTGTAGGACTCGGGTGACCGTTAAGGCCCATGGGCCTCTTGTTTTTATATATATCACATGCTTTTACTTTAGCCAATTGCTTGATAAGTATAAATGCTAAAATACTATTAGAGCTTTTCAAGTAGCAAGTAAAGTGATACACCTGAACGAGTTGCAGCAGTGACATTGATGAGACTTTTGTTTTATAGAGACACAAGCTGGCCAAGGAATGGTTTGTACCATCAAACCTGAAGAAGATTGAGGTCAATGGCGTCTTCGGTGAAAAGGTAGGGCAATCGTACGATTAGAATCCATATACTGTCAAAGACAATTGTGAAGTAAATCAAACAAATTTCAGGCTCACATGTACCTCAGCCTCTTGATCTTGAGATCAAATGTCAAGGTGACATTGACAAATAATGTGAAAATGTTCCAAAAACCTTTCACACTGGGGCCTTTTGTATATATATATATAGAAGTTTCAAATCATTACCTTCATTTCTTACTCTTAGATACTGTCATTTGATGGAAGTGGGTTTTTTTCCTTTATAAAAATTTTTGCTGTATGTTATCTGTGTGTATGTGATATCAGTATTTGACAGGTTATGTGTGTGTATTGATATGAACCACAGCTGTCTATGATCATTTCAGGCTACTCATGTAATGAGGAGGTTTCCCACCAACGGCGCTCATAACATAGGTAAGACAATCAATAAAACAAAACGCCCACCCCCACACATAAATTGGTGTCCGCAACATCCGTAATACCATCAATAATGTTGGGCCGTTAACAGTGTCAGGACTGTTGTTGACAATATTTGTAAAATTTAATTTATGATCTCTTCTTAAAAGCTAGCATATACATAAATAATCTTTTGGAATATTTTGTGATACAGCAATACATGTCTTTCATTTTAGTATTGTGAGACGATATGCCTATGTATTGTCATAAACTGGGTGTCCACTACATTGTGACAGCCCAAATTTTCTTCTCATATCAAGATTCGATTAAACTTGATATAATTGTTTTTCTGATTTTTTTGCAAATCTTTGTTCATTTTTTTTTATTAAATACAACCACACAAGCATTACACACCCACCGAAGGGATGGGACTTTGGTCGCCAAGTGGTTATAAGGCATCTGACATTCTGCTTCCACTATTTACCACTGGGTCGCGGGTTCGAGATCTATGTGGGGCAGTTGCCAGGTACTGGCTGTTGGTCGGTGGTTTTTCTCCAGGAACTCTGGCAATATTTCACACTATGCACTGTTTTTCAGAAACGGACCGACGACGGCTCAAATATGTGGCATATAACATACAAGAGGATCTAGTCATAGACAAGAAATACACAAATCGGTAAGTCACAGTTACTGTAACCTTCGTTAATTCTACACCTCTGATTTTCTCTAGTATTGTACATTATTGAGAATATTACAGGTATCCGGTATGAAGAATATTGCCTTGTGCATATGTATAACAGTAGCAAACTGGCATTGTATTTTCAAACTTATTTAATTGACACATTTGATATTCGATGTATGAAATCAAGAATGATACAAATTTCAGTTATTTCTTAAGAAATATCTTCAAGATAATAAAAAGGAATGTTTTATTTTGTTTCTGTAGGGAGTACCAGGTATTGAAGTATCGCCAGGCGTTCCTTGAGGACCTGCTGGAGATCCGGCCGACAGACCTGGAGCGCTGTAATATGTTGTTACTACTTCTGGTGGTGAGTACTTGAAACATCAGCTATAATCCTCGTAGAAAACATAGTTTATCACCCTATACTACGTCATTACTAGCTCTTATTTTATAAATTAGGACATGATTAATGAATGTATGTCACATGAAATTGCACAGGAATGCATGTTTGTAATAACCTCCAGAAATTCTAAATATAGAAAATGTTGATTTCATCATTTTGCTAACTCAAACACTTATTAAACAAGTAAAATGTTTTAAAGTAGAAGATAATCTTGAGGTGAACATTGCACACTTTTTCTGTGATGTGCTGTAAAGCTACCAGTTGTCACCATTGAGTTGGGAGGAGAGGTACATGAGATGAGTAATGGCTATTTAAATCTTAAGTTGTAATAGAAATGTATTTGTCTTGGATTTACTTTCCAGACGTCACTAGAATTCGTGCTCCCGACACATCTGGTAAAGGAGACGTTAGATACGGCCAAGCTCAGTAAATTAGGGTAAGTGTTGCATGTGTGAAGATTTTAAATTAATGTCAGAATTTTTCATTCAAAACCAATCATAGTAAAGCAAGCGTGAAACTTCAGCCATTCAGTCAAAGAATCCTGTTGAATTGAAATCTTTATACACCTGTCAATATCTGCGTACACTTGTAGGAAAGTGTACACGATGGATCTGTTCCTTCTACCGAGGGACGTTCGCTGTCATGTGGTCTGTGTTCTCTTGGCTGCCGTTAAGATAGACAAGGATGACAGAGAGGTAAGTCTGGCAATTTCTTACCAAGAAAATGTTCATCAAACTTGAGAAGGGAGGTCTTCAAAACTCCCTATTTTGGTAAATTTGAGAATTTATCATTCTAGAATTATCGATGCACATTAAAGGAATAAAAATGTGATAATATGAACTCTTACAGACAATAACTCAGAGTAAAAATCAGTAAACAATCAAAATCAGCCTTGTATTTTTAACCCTTGTTCCTTTTTATCAGGATGGTGGTTTGTACGACAAACTGTACTTGTGCCTTTTCTACACGATTTCTGAACTAATGAAACTAAGCCAGTCAACCAGCACCAAGCAGACGGCCATCAAGTCAAAGCTCAACACATTGTAAGTCAACCATCAAAAACGCAAGCCAACGATAAAGTTATAGCGTAACAGATTGTAAATCAAGCAAGTTGGCATATTATTCCATGCTTTGGGAAGAAGCTAATGAAATGTTACGAAAACTTTCTAAGGAAGACTTTCCATTTTTACACTTAAAAAATCCCCGTCCCACTGCACTGTAGTTTTTCAAATATACAGTAACCTCCCTTTAACTTCCATTTGGAGATAACTGTAGCACAGTTGGGTCAGGACACTTCCGTATACCAGGTAGCTCAATTGATTATAGGGATAGCTTAACAATTTGAAGTCAGGTGTTAGAACCCCGGGCTTGTTGATATTTTTCTCACTCAGAATACTGATTATATTTTGTTTATTTCATCTTAGTTATTTCTCATAAAAGTCCTGCAAGGTATGGTTATCTTTTCAGAAATGATTAATCAGAGCTATAGTCATGCCAGAAAAACAGTTTCCAACACTAAGTTACAGGTTTGGCAGTGGTACGGGGATCCTCAAGGTGGCAGAGTATCATGTTTAACTTTTCATGAGAGGGTGACGCAACCATTTCCAGGTCATGTCTTTTCATTGCAGCATCTAATAACTTAAAACTTTACATGTGTAAACGTTTTGGTCTGAGGAAAGTGCCTGTTGTTAGTCTGGGTCAGAAGTCAAAGTTCAAGAGAAAGATGTAGAAAGAGTTTTTTGGAGATGGTGTCTTTTCACTGTAACATCAACTTCCCACATGTAAACCTTTTCACCTGAGGAAGTGCCTTGGGTTTTCAGGGTCAGAGGTCAAAGGTCAACGTCATGTTCATAGCCCTTCCACACTCAAATTTCTGCTGGCAAAGTGTCATAAAATTTTCATGTTACTTGTGTTCACTTACCTGACTTCATCTCAGAGAAGTCAGAAACATCATTTAATTGCAATGTCATCTGTTTGAGTTAATAAATACTCCATATCAAAGTTATGAAAAACGCATCTGTTTCGAAATTTCCAGATACAGTGACTACAAGTGTCTGCTGGCCTCAGAAGTTATACAACTACTGTGTATAGTGCCTGCCTTCTTTGAATACATCTCCAAAGACATTGGTGTGATGAATCTGATCATGACCGGGACAGGTGACACGTTAATAGCTGAGAAGATAGCCAGGGTGTCCTCGGTAGTGGAGGACAAAGGAGTAGGTCAAGTATACGCGGACTGTAGGTTAGGTACAATAAGTGTATATGTCAGGTATAATCTATTGTGGAGGGGCGTGTATTTCAGATTATATTTTAGTGGAGAGATAGAATGATGATAGGTTATATTGATATTAGCTGGTGTGATAGTGGATCAGGCTTTTAGTAGACCATTTAGAGAATGTTTTTGTCTCCCGAAAATGAGCCTTGATTCTTGGGTTTTAAAAGACAGATCTATTTTACATATCTTTTGAAAATTCAGGGGAAATTCTATTAGACTTTGAAAATTGCTATAAATAACAATTGTCAAACTGAAAGCCCTGTTAGATATTGACATAAACCTGGGTTTTTTTCAGGGTGAGCTGAAACGTCTGTATGAGGACCAGGCGGAGCTGTTATTACAGAAGGTCCAGGAGCAGTGTCTCAACCTGAGCAACAGAACTCAAAAAATACCGTCCTCGGATGAAGTGATCAATGTAAGGTCTTCATGGGGAAAAAACAACGGTCTTAGCTTTTAATGTGACACATTGCTGCCATATTTAGCTGATTGTTGGTAATGAATTCTTAGTCAAAAAGGCTTTAAATCTCATAGATTAAGGAAACGTGACTAAAACGTTTGTCAGGTACCACTCTCAAGGTCATATCAAGGTGTCAATGGTCAAATCATTGTAATCATTGTCTGCATATAAACATTGCATAAATTGAGCATGCTTTCTTGCATGAACTGCTCATTGCCATGGTAATAAGACTTTATACACTGAACTTTGTTAAAAGCACAGTTAATAATGATAAAATGAAATACAAAGTTTATCTGTATATTATTCTTTGTAACAGTCATTAAAAGCCCTGTTTCTGTATTTTATACTTTTAAAGAATTAGTGAAGAATCTACCTCTGTATATCATACTTTATAACAGTAGTGAAGGCCCTGCATCTGTATTTGATACTTTGTAACAGTCTGTAAAGGCCCTGCCTCTGTATTTGATACTTTATAACAGTCTGTGAAGGCCATGCCTCTGTATTTGATATTTTATAACAGTCAGTTTAGGCCCTGGTTCTGTATTTTATACTTTGTAACAGTCAATAAAGGCCCTGTTTCTGTATTTTATTCTGTATGTTCATAGAGGCCCTGTCTTTGTATTTGATACTTTAAAACAGTCTGTGAAGACCCTGCCTCTGTATTTGATATGTTATAACAGTCAGTTTAGGCCCTGCCTCTGTATTTGATACTTTATAACAGTCAGTAAAGGCCCTGCCTCTGTATATCATTATTTATAACAGTCTATGAAGGCCCTGCCCATGAAGCGGCCTCTGTCTGCCCTTGAGCTGGCTGACTTCCATTCCAAGGGTGTGACAAGTCCCCACAAGGATGCCCCTCGGATCATGAGTGCCAGGAGACCTTCAGATAGAGGCAGGAAGAGGTTTCCACGTACGTATTTTCATCAGTCATTCTTTAACTCACTGATCATGAAAATGATCATTCATATGAAAGAGACTTGAATACAAATATTTTATATATTTATTAAGCCTGCTGATTATGCGTCCAAAAGATATATATAAGAAGTCTGATCTTCAAAATCAATATATTGCCCATTAAATCCATTTGAAAATTTGGTCAACTCACTTTCTCATGCATTTTATAGAGTGTTAACCATAGTGATACATAAAGTGACAACAAAAATTATAAGTTTGTGTTTAAGTCTGTGATATCTTCCAAAGATACATGCGTGTCTGTTTTTCTTTAAACAATAAATTGAATTTCTCACGAATAAATGTGTGTGCATGTAAAACTCAAATTGAAAGTCACAGAATAATTTCTGCAAAAATCCAACTGAAATATCAATTTAAATGCAATAATAATAGATACATACGTTTCCAATTTTTCCCAGTTTGATGTAAAAATACTTATTCGGGAAAGTTTGAATTCACAAGAGAAGCATTAACAGACATTAAACTTATATTGAAATATTGTGAGATAGTTGAATTTGAACTTGGTTCTTTTCCAGGTAGTCACTCATTTGTCTATCCTCTAAAATATAAGAAAATGTCAGCATTCATCATGTTATATACTGTACCATAATAGAAAATCTGTACATATCTTGTTAAAAAATAAACTCTGTGACTTGGTTTTGCAGGTCTTGGTGACATCTTGCTACTGGGGCCACAGGTAGGTGATACCAGCCATTCATTTTACATTAGACATCCTCCAGTAGATTGGCCATGTCATTGCAATCTGTCATTTGCCAAACTTTACATTTTATATTTCCAACATCTGATAAAATATTTGAACCAAATGTGATAAAAATACATGATAATATTTGTTCAAATTGGAGTCTCGACCCCTCATTGATCTTAAAGGGAGATTAAAGAGATGTTATTATGGTTATTTTATGGCTGTTCTCAAATTCTAGAAGCAGAGGTCAAAGTTCAAAATAAGTTATGGTGGCTATAATTCAGGCTTGAAAATACCGAGTGTTCGGTAAACATTAGATATTATTATGAAGTTTATTAGATGGTGTGCCATGTAGTCTTTTGTAGACTCCCTCTCTAGGGTCATACAATTGTATTAACAAATTGAGTCAAGTGCTCTTTATTATTTCTCAGAAAAGTGGTACATTGTATATAGGACCACTGCAACTATTGTTTAAATGGTTCATTTTCAAAATCACTTGGTAAAATTGAAATGTAATGATATATTTGTAGTATAATACAATGTACAACTTTATATTTTTCAGACACTGGGTAAAATTGTGTCCCTCCCACAACCTTTTGTTGCCTTAGTTTCAATGGATTCAGTACCAGGTAGGGTCTTCAATGATGTCACTGAAAATACACCATTAGCCTTATATTGTTACCTAATAAGATAGCTTAAAGCCCTTTTTGTACTCAGTACATGTACATCGTAATCTTGTCATTCAGTAAATATTTTTTATATGCATGAGCAATTTTAATCCAAAGATTTTGGGCGAGTTATGTCCCTTTTACTTAACAGAGCCTTATTTTTTGCTTTGTAGTACATCCTAGTATATCCTTACCTTGTTGCACTCCAACTTTTAATTTGTAATTTGAAGACATATTTATATTTTAGCACGTCCCTAAGTTACCATAGCTGTTAATAGGGCGTAAAATACAAACAAACCAAATATACTGTGGCATACAGTTCTAAGTCCAATGCTTTTTTGACTTGTGGACGTAGACACTGAAGGTTGAATATAAATTATAATTTTTGTTTAGTTGCCAATGGTGCCATGGAGAGCAAGCTTAAGCACAGTGATGACCACTACACATACATTAACATGGATCATCTTGGTTGGGACCTCGATCTGGGAGTATGGAAACCCAAGGGGGCCATCGGTGACAGGTACGGGATTGTTAGGTTAAGTCAGCTGATATAATCCATGGAAATTAAAGTTTTCTCATTAAAATAAAATATATAAAATCAAACCTGTTTACATATAAACCCAACAAAACAAATTAATTGTCTATAACAATAATATGAATGAGTATAGAAAAGAAGTTTTTATTAACTCTTTTCACCACTGTAGACCATAATGGACTCATCCAGATCAATGCATGGTAGAGTTTACTAAAGTTGCATAGGGGTGAAATGGTTAAACATATTTGGCAGAGTTGGTAGTTTCTTAGTTGCTGTTATCTTAATTCTTGGTAGTGAATATACATGTTTACTTACATTGTGAGGATAGATTTAATCATGTTTACAACATTCAGTGTAGGCTGTATTTTAGAGAAGATGAACTGTAAACACTTACTTAGTTGATAGAAGCTAGACTATTGTATACCACTAGTTCCGTAAATGAGGTACAATGTGTTAAATCTCGTTGTTTCAGTGTTATGCACTTTGATGCAAGGTACAAAACTGATGTGCTTGATATTGATTTGTTCATTTTAACAAACTAACACCTTTTTCTTTAAAGAATATTTGATATATTAATCATAACGGGGTTAGAAAATGATATGAAAACAAATTTAACTTGTTTTTGGTAATACGCTGGTTAAGGGTCTCTGTGTGGACGTTTGTCGTGCTAGGTGGACTTTGTCAATGTGGTCTGAATTTGTGTGCTGTGATACTGCACTTTTTGTGTCGTTAATGCTTACATGTAACATCGTAAGCAGCATTTAGCAACAGAAATGTAGGGATTGGCTGTGTTCATTCAGCCATGAGAACAAAGCATACATCTTCAAACTGTACCGACCATTATGTATCTTCATGCTTGACTGATTTGCTGTATCTGCTCGCCTGCAATCACTCAGTGTTGCCTCGGTTTGAAATGACCACATAGCCTTTCACAGTAAAAATCACTGGAATCCTTACAGTATACTTACATTTGGAACCTGTTGCTCCTTAAATAAAGTTTTTCTCCATTATTCTGTAGGAATGATAATGACTGCCATATCAATCTGTAAAGGTTTATTATACATGATGTGTTCATATCCAGTGGCAGAAAAGCCCTGATGTAAATATCGGTATTGTTATCAAATTTTGATTTAAAGTGGCGTGAACTTTTACAATAATTTATAATAATCAGTATTAAGATTAAAACGTCTGGGGTCTTATACCTATCGATTAATGATAAGTGATATTAACATGCAAGCCACAGACATCTGACTGTCAAGTAATCATACTAGGTCAATGTGATTACAAAACATCAGTCTGTCAAGGAAATAGATTAGGTCAATGTAATAACAACATGCATGCATATCTGTTGGGCTATAATTAAATTGCTATTATTTCTTTCTCCATGTCTGGATGGTATAATTATTAACGTGATTTGTGATTGCTTGATTTGCTTTATTTGTTTCAGCCTCCTAAAGGAATTCCTTGCCAATCATAAGTTCCCTAACAGGTACCCTTAATTAGGTGGACGTAGCCTTACCTGTAGTGATTAGTACCACACCCTTATCTTAATCACCTAGACTATATGGCCCTAACCTTACCATAAGTTGGGCCTAGCCTTACCTGTAGTGTTAACCACACTTCTATGGAACATCTCAATTAGGTAGGCCTAACCTTACCTGTACTGTTTATAAGTATCATATCCTTATATAACTAACCTCGACTAGATGGTGCATGAGCTTACCAGTAGCTTTTTTTGTTCTACCTCCCTGTGGAAGTCACATTGGTTAATTTGTATCTTACTTACAGAGGATGTAGCCTTACTTTTAGTGGGTTTAACCTTACCTGTGTTGTAAGTAACACACACCCCTTAGAAAACTTTACTAGATGAGGCATTACCATATCTGAACCTGTAAAGGACCAAACATCTGTAACTTACCTGAACTAGATGGCGTCTACCCTTACCTTTAGTTAATAACTAATCTTGCTTCGCATAATGGTTTCCACACCTCCTCTGATAAAGTCACTTCCATTATATACATCCTATACTCACTCCCACTATACTCAGGTAGTGTCACATCCTTTACTCACTCCCACTTTATTCACTCCCACTATACTCACTCCCACTATACTCACTCCCACTATACTCATGTAGTGTCACATCCTATACTCACTCCCACTATACTCATGTAGTGTCACATCGTATACTCACTCCCACTATACTCATGGAGTGTCACATTCTATAGTCACTCCCACTATACTCATGTAGTGTCACATCCTATACTCACTCCCACTATACTCGTGTAGTGTCACATCCTATACTCCCTCCCACTATACTCATGTAGTGTCACATCGTATACTCACTCCCACTATAATCATGGAGTGTCACATTCTATAGTCACCCCCACTATACTCATGTAGTGTCACATCCTATACTCACTTCAACTATACTCATGTAGTATCACATCCTATACTCACTCCCACTATACCCATGTAGTGTCACATCCTATATTCACTCCCAATATACTCATGTAGTGTCACATCCTATACTCACTCCCACTATACTCATGTAGTATAACATTCTATACTCACTCCCAATATACTCACGTAGTATCACATCCTATACTCACTCCCACTATACTCATGTAGTATCACATCCTAAACTCACTCCCAATATACTCATGTAGTGTCACATCCTATACTCACTCCCACTATACTCATGTAGTATAACATCCTATACTCACTCCCAATATACTCATGTAGTATCACATCATATACTCACTCCAACTATACTCATGTAGTGTCACATCCTATACTCACTCCCACTATACTCATGTAGTGTCACATCCTATACTCACTCCCACTATACTCATGTAGTATCACATCCTATACTCACTCCCACTATACTCTTGTAGTATCAAATCCATGTTTTCTTATTGCATGCCATATTTTCTTAACCATTTTAAAATGAAATTAACTTTGTGCTAAAAGTATTGATAATTATTGTAATTTCATGTTTTGCTTCCCATTTATCACTGTAATTTAGTTTATTATTGTTGTCTATCTTATATGATTTATATAACTGTGTATAGTATAACTATTTCATTAACTTTCTACAATGAATACCTTGTATAACCTTTTCACGGTGTTATTTTTCGCATTTACATCATTTTTCTTAAATTGTACAATATTGAATTTCTGATTTCAAGATTGTGAGTAATGTAGAGTTACTTGAATAGAAAAGATCTTTGTTGTATACAGAATATATATGTGTGATTGAAAGTATCATAACCTATGTAACTCACATGCTTATCTTAGAATTTGGGCAAATTGATGTATGTATTTGACTGTGTTGATATAGGATTGAGGTTGAATCGGCAGAATGTAAACAAAACCATGATTTGTGATTTCTTTGAAATATCTAGTGAGTTTTGAGAAATTATATGCATCTATTATTTCAATAGGTTAACCATGCATAATGTGGAGGACCTGCAGAAGGACCTTGAACGCAAGGCCAACATGGATGACAATACTATCCGACCAAACTCTCCCAACTGGAACACCCCTACACCTGGACCTGGTCAGGAAGCTCCCCTATTATACTCACCTCGACACCCACCTACTACACCTGAGAAGGGTCCAAGACCAAAGGTAGGCATATATTCACCCTAACACATCTTACTATGCAATAGAACCTCCCACACCTATCACACTCACCCTGACATGACCTACTAAGCCTTAAGGCCAAGCATACTCTGACATAACTTACTACATCCTAAGGACCTCCAAGACCTAGCATGCTCTACCTGACATAACCTCCTACATCCTAAGGACCTTCTAGACCTAGTTTACTCTACCTGACATAACCTACATGTACTACATCCTAAAGACCTTCTAGACCTAGCTTACTCTACCTGACATAACCTACAACATCCTAAGGACCTTCTAGACCTAGCATACTCACCCCGACATAATCTACTACACTCTAAGGACCTTCTAGACCTAGCTTACTCTACCTGACTTAACCTACTACATCCTAAGGACCTTCTAGACCTAGCATACTCACCCTGACATAACCTACTACATCCTAAGGACCTTCTAGACCTAGCTTACTATACCTGACATAACCTACATGTACTACATCCTGAAGACCTTCTAGACCTAGCTTACTCTACCTAACATAACCTACTACATCCTAAGGACCTTCTAGACCTAGCTTACTCTACCTGACATAACCTACTACATCCTAAGGACCTTCTCTACCTGACACAACCTTCTACATCCTAAGGACTTTCTAGACCTAGCATATTCTACCTGACATAACCTACTACATTCTAAGGACCTTCTAGACCTAGCCTTATCTACCTGACATAACCTGCTACATCCTAAGGACCTTCTAGACCTAGCATACTCTACCTGACATAGCCTACTACATCCTAAGGACCTTCTAGACCTAGCTTACTCTACCTGACATAACCTACTACATCCTAAGGACCTTCTAGACCTGACATAACCCAGACATGATAAACATGTTATATAGAGTCTGACACATTCTCTCACATAATAAGGTAAACAGCTAGATAAATTTTGCTGTTATTTATTTTGCTAAACATTAAGGAAGGGAGATAACTCTGGTAGTCTTGTGCAAGTTTTGTATAGCAGGAAGATGTGAACATAAAGAACAGGAATGCCTATTGCTACAGCCTACTACATTCTAAGGACCTTCTAGACCTAGCTTACTCTACCTGACATAACCTACTACATCATCCTAAGGACCTTCTCTACCTGACATAACCTTCTACATCCTAAGGACTTTCTAGACCTAGCATATTCTACCTGACATAACCTACTACATTCTAAGGACCTTCTAGACCTAGCCTTATCTACCTGACATAACCTGCTACATCCTAAGGACCTTCTAGACCTAGCATACTCTACCTGACATAGCCTACTACATCCTAAGGACCTTCTAGACCTAGCTTACTCTACCTGACATAACCTACTACATCCTAAAGACCTTCTAGACCTGACATAACCTTCTACATTCTAAGGACTTTCTAGACCTAGCCTTCTCTACCGGACATAACCTACTACATCCTAAGGACCTTCTAGACCTAGCATACTCTACCTGACACAGCCTACTACATTCTAAGGACCTTCTAGACCTAGCTTACTCTCCCTGACATAACCTACTACATCATCCTAAGGACCTTCTCTACCTGACATAACCTTCTACATCCTAAGGACTTTCTAGACCTAGCATATTCTACCTGACATAACCTACTACATACTAAGGACCTTCTAGACCTAGCCTTCTCTACCTGACATAACCTACTACATTCTAAGGACCTTCTAGACCTAGCCTTCTTTACCTGACATAACCTACTACATCCCAAGGACCTTCTAGGCCTAGCATATTCTACCTGACATAACCTACTATATCCTAAGGACCTTCCAGACCTAGCATGCTCTACCTGACATAACCTCCTACATCCTAAGGACTTCCAAGTATTCTGATGATTTCATGAAAATTATGTGGCTTGTCTCTGTTTTCAAGTTCTGATTATTTTGGTGAATTTTAGCTGATCATGGGTATTCTGCCTGATAGACTTTTTCACCACAGTCATTATGTCATACCTTGGGTAAGTGGGGACCGTTGTGTGGCTAAATAGTAATGTCATACCTTGGGTAAGTGGGGACCGTTGTGTGGCTTAATAGTAATGTCATACCCTGGGTAAGTGGGGACCGTTGTGTGGCTTAATAGTTATATCATACCCTGGGTAAGTGGGGACCGTTGTGTGGCTAAATAGTAATGTCATACCTTGGGTAAGTAAGGACCGTTGTGTGGCTAAACAGTAATGTCATACCCTGGGTAAGTAGGGACAGTTGTGTGGCTTAATAGTTATTTCATACCCTGGGTAAGTAGCGACAGTTGTGTGGCTTAATAGTTATATCATACCCTGGGTAAGTGGGAATCATTGTGTGGCTAAATAGTAATGTCATACCCTGGGTAAGTGGGGATCATTGTGTGGCTAAATAGTTATGTCATACCCTGGATAAGTGGGGATCATTGTGTGGCTAAATAGTTATGTCATACCCTGGTTAAGTGTAGACCATCATGTGTGGCTTAATAGTTATGTCATACAATACCCTGGGTAAGTCTAGACCATCATGTGTGGCTTAATAGTAATGTCATACCCTGGGTAAGTCCACACCATCATGTGTGGCTTAATAGTAATGTCATACCCTGGGTAGGTGGGGACCATCATGTGTGGCTTAATAGTAATGTCATACCCTGGGTAAGTGGGGACCATCATGTATGGCTTAATAGTTATGTCATACCCTGGGTAGGTGGGGACCATCATGCGTGGCTAAGTAGTTATTTCATATGCTGAATAAGTGGGCACCATTATCCATATAAGCTAAATAATTATGCCATATGCTTAGTAAGTGGAGGAGGGTCTTCTGTAATTAAATCATCATGTCAAACACTGAGTAAGTTGGTATCTCTTAAGTGGCTAAACAGTTGGAATATTATATGCTTAGTGAGTTATCATCATCCAGTGTGGCTTGATAATCATGCCACCCCCTATGAAAGAAGAGAACAACTCTAGGTTGAAAGTGTGAGATAAATATCAGGTGAGTGATGCAGGCACTTTGGGCCTCTTGTCTTTTATGGCATGCCTGACCCAGACATGATAAACATGTTATATAGAGTCTGACACATTCTCTCACATAATAAGGTAAACAGCTAGATAAATTTTGCTGTTATTTATTTTGCTAAACATTAAGGAAGGGAGATAACTCTGGTAGTCTTGTGCAAGTTTTGTATAGCAGGAAGATGTGAACATAAAGAACAGGAATGCCTATTGCTAAATAATTCAACAATTGTGATTCTGTACTATTGTGGTTATTGGTGAAAACATGAATGGGAATGTTTACTGTTGTGATTTTCTACAATAGTATTACTTCAAGGTGTTTAACAAATTTAACTTGCATTCAATCAAAATAATTTACAAGTATTATTTACTAGTATTTTACTTATGAGCTAATAAATGCATGATATCAGTAGAAAACATGTAATATTTTTGATTTTTACAATGTCTTCTTTAGTACTTTGTTATAATGTCACAAAGATCATCACTGGAGCCTGAACGAGTGCAGGATGAGGGCCCTTTGTCCATTTCTTCGATAAATACAATACACAAATAATTATGTGCCATTAAATTAACATGTCCTATGTGTGTGTTAAATAGGAGAACTGCTGCGATCTATCAAAGTTTTGATGTATTGTTTGATATACATTTAACATTGTTAATCTATTCGCCAAATAGTGTAAACATGTTTGTTCATTGGTTTTAAGGGAACATGGTGTTAGTATGTCATTTTTTATCAAGAGGATATATGTTGTTAGCTGGTGTTGTTTCATTGCTTATAAGAAAAAGTGTTAACATAGGTTTGTCCTTCATCTTGCAAGAAATAAAAGGTGTCATTATGGCTGTCCTTGTTTGTCTTTGAGACCTGTATATTTGTCCTTTGTTTGTCTATGAGACCTTTGTGTTTGTCTCTTGTTTGTCTATGAGACCTTTGTGTTTGTCTCTTGTTTCTCTATGAGACCTGAGTGTTTGTCCCTTGATTGTCTATTAGACCTGTGTGTTTGTCTCTTGTTTGTCTATGATACCTGTGTGTTTGTCTCGTTTGTCTATGATACCTGTGTGTTTGTCTCTTGTTTGTCTATGAGACCTTTGTGTTTGTCTATGAGACTGTGTGTTTGTCTCTTGTTTCTCTATGAGACCTGTGTGTTTGTCCCTTGATTGTCTATTAGACCTGTGTGTTTGTCTCTTGTTTGTCTATGATACCTGTGTGTTTGTCTCTTGTTTGTCCATGAGACCTGTGTGTTTGTCCCTTGTTTGTCTGAGACCTGTGTGTTTGTCCCTTTTTGTCTTTGAGACCTGTATATTTATCCTTTATTTGTCTATGAGACCTGTGTGTTTGTCCCTTGTTTGTCTATGAGACCTGTGTGCTTGTCTCTTGTTTGTCTATGAGACCTGTGTTTTTGTCCCTTGTTTGTCTATGAGACCTGTGTGCTTGTCTCTTGTTTGTCTATGAGACCTGTATATTTGTCCCTTTTTGTCTTTGAGGCCTATGTGTTTGTCCCTTTTTGTCTATGAGCCGTGTTTGTTTGTCTCTTATTTGTCTTTGAGACAAATGTATTTGTCCTAGGTTTGTCCTTGAGACCTATATGTTTGTTCTTAGTTTGTTTATGAGACCAATATATTTGTCCCTTGATATTCAAACAGGAAGTCCAGGAGACTCCCCGCCCTGTTTCCTCTCTGCTCAAAGAGAAATTGGATCTAAAGTTGGACCTTTCTCGGCGAGTACTGTCAACACGAGACACAGATTTCCCCAGACATGGAGGTGTTGATCAACAGGTAGGATACACATTTTTCACCTACAAAAGGAAATAAAATATGTACTTTCTCATCTTCCAGATGAATCTTAATGTGACAGCATGATACATTGACCGAGTATTATGTCATCATTATAATTGTACTATGAATAGGGTGATAGCCAACACTCTACCATAACTCTTATGTCTGTGATCGGGTCCATACCAATTTAATAGCGTCACATTATTTTGTTTGTCATTTGTCAGTTTTAAGTCTACTTCTTTAGCATTAGGGTCAAGTGGATACGATCATGTAGAAATTAAAATGTTAATAGTGTCTGCTCATAATTATCCAGGTTTTACAAACTTTCAATTCTATCATACTAATGTTGCATTCTCTGTTTTGTGTTTCAGAGGGACGGAGAACCTGTAGCTATGGACCAGACAGAGGAAGGACAGAGTGGGAGAGATGGGGAGGGACAACCCAGGACACGGCGACCAGTCCACATTGATGTGACACTGGCCACTGGAGCCATGCCTGTACAAGAGACTGCCCAACAGGTCCCACAGACCCCCGCTCAGGACCAATCACAGGCTCCCTCACAAGCCCCTCCACATGCCCCAGTGGTCTCAGAGACAGCAACCCCTTCACAGCCTTCCAGTAATACCGCGCCCTCTGTGGTGACGGCAGTGGGCGGAGTGACGGGTATCCCTGGAGTACATGACTGTATACAGTGTGCAATGGAAGCTGCAGCTCTGGCAAAAGGGGAGGTAAGTCTCATTTAGATTTAATTTGAATTGGAGATATTTGTTCCGTTCAGCAATATTGTCAGTTAGCTCATCACGACTGTTAACCTGCAGTGTTTTGCTTTGATTCTCAAATTAATCGCTGTTGACAAATGAAGTGTGGACAGGCAAGATATATCATTCTACACAATTCTTCTTGTTATTATTGTTGATGTTGGCAACTTTTATGCCCAGCCATGTGGTTGTGCAGGGCAAATAGTGTTATACTTGCTAGTACGTCCCAACAGTTAGGTCATTTATGGACTAAGTTGTACTCTTTGGGTCTTGGAACTTCACTTACCTATGTGTCTCTATGAGCAGAACATGATGCATGATCTTTTTGTGACTTTGACATTGACCTCTGACCTGGGCTAAGATTTTACATTTAGGTCAGTTATGGACTTAGTACATACAAGTGCTCCTTTATGAGCAGACCATGTTGCATGATGTTTGCAGTCTTGATCTTGACCCCTGTGACTTTGTTTAGTTCTTAGGTATAAGAGCAGGGCATCTTTCTTACGCCAGGCACATTTTAACTTTTTGTGATTTGTAATAAGTAAGGCAGGAATTGTGAACACGTGAATGCAGTAGAAATAGTGTTTGAACTGAATGTTAGCCCCATAGACAATCACTATGAAATACACTGTAGGTCTATGGGAATCACAGACCCACAGACAATCACTATGAAATACACTGTAGGTCTATGGGAATAATAGACAATCACTATGAAATACACTGTAGGTCTATGGGAATCAGAGAACCAACGACAATCACTTTGAAATACACTGAGGTCTATGGGAATCATAGACAATCACTATGAACTACACTAAGTCTAGGGAAATCATAGACCTATAGACAATCACTATGAAATATGCTGTCGGTCTATGGGAATCATTCACTTAATAGACCAAATTATCTTTTAAGTTATTTCCTATGATGTGTATGATTTAATCCTAAGTACAGTAGTGAGGAAAAAATTGTTCTGAAAAATCATATTTATTCCATTATCATTACACACGTTCCTTTAATTTCATGTTATCAAGCACCAAATATTTATGTAAAATGTTCTTGGTGAAAGTCTAGTCTACGAAAATTTGAGTAGGTCTATACGAAATCGACATTGCAAGACCTTTTGTCTATCATGGGTAAATTATATACTCTGAGTAGACTAAGTACTAGTACGGTATCACCACACACTGATACAATAGACCTTGTTGATACCATTTGTTCTGAGTACGTTATCAGCAGTATGTTATAATTTACTAGTTCATTCTGAGTAGCTTGGCCGCTGTATAACATCGATTGATGTGGTATCTACTTAAAAACTTGTAATTATTCTACCGAAAATAATTGTTGGTATACGTGTACTGTATTATAATGCCAGTGTTTCTCTCCTGATTGTCTTGCTATAGAGATTTGATCCATTACAGTGAAATTTCAATTGCGGTTTGTCAATAACACATGTATTAACGTTACCGTATAGATTAAAACCCCGGCCATGCAATTAAAAATTCATATCGGCCGATAATGAAGTCTTTTGTCCAATGGCATTTCATCAAATTTGCCCAAGCTTGTAGCTATATCTAATCAATAACTTCGCTTTTATCAGTTAAATTTGTCACTGAAAAAAGAAATCCATGGAAAGCTATGATACACATTATGTATATATGTATATATAAGTTGAACGAAGTAAAATCTATAAAAGAACAGTGTTACATTCAGGCTGGGGTATGCAGGTGCATCGGACAGTGTGATATTGATCAGGGTCTGAAAGGGAACTGTTGTATCAGGTGGATCAATCTTGATTGCATTAAGCAGCATATAATGGGCCAATCTTTGTTAGATAGGATCTCAATGATATGTTAATAGCCCAGTACTGTACAGGTAAGGTGTGGGTTAACAATGCTAGGTCTAACTGCTGTGTAACCAGGCATTTTCCAGGTGACTCCCAGTGTATAGCCGTGGGGAAATCAATGTGACAAATCAATACTCGTTTAGTATGACCTACTTTATTGATCGGCCTTTTGATATTAAGTAAAAGGCTGGTGATTGATAAAGTCTGATACCTACTATGGGTTAGTGAGATGAAGAATAATATATTTTAATGAAACCTGATGACCTCACTGTAACATAAATCGAAACTATGCCATTTTCGTAAAGTCATTTTCCTGTACCTAAACCTAGTATCTAGCTTACATCATACTGGCCTTACTAGCTCCTTGAAAGTCATTAGTATGCAAGTTAATAATTTCTTGTTGTATTATTTCATAAGTGGTTTCCTAATTTAGTGGCTGCTGGTCTGTTGTTAGTTACGTGAATATTTGTGTGTTTGTGATAACACTGTAGATAGCAGAGTATAAAAAGCTAATGATTAATAGAATATTCATGGGCTAGTTCTTATGACTCTGGGTAGAAATCAATTTCCTCTCCTTTACTGGAATCTTTATGAAAGAACATGATGATATCCATATCACAATAAGCTCTGCTTTGATGTGTTCAGTCAAGTCGTGTAACCAGTCCAGTACACAGGTAGCGACAGAGTCTGATACCGTAGTCGTCCTTAAAGGAACCTCAATCTTAGTTTCGTTCATGTTTTAAAGGCAGAGTCTTATACTGTAGTTGTCCTTATAGACAACTTCATCTCAGTGATGAAGTGTCATGATCAAGAGAGATAAGACACTGTCTATTATAGAACCAGTCCTGAGAAATAAGACACTGTCTATTGTAGAACCTGTCCTGAGTGATAAGACACTGTCTATTGTAGAACCTGTCCCGAGAGATAAGACACTGTTTATTGTAGAACCTGCCCTGAGAGATAAGACACTTGCTGTCTATAGAACATCCTCTAAGACACATGTTCTGTCTTCAATAAATTTGTCCTGAGAGAAAAGATACTGTTTTTAGTAGAACCTGTCTTGAGAGAGAAGACACATACTGCTAAAATAAACCCTGTCCTGAGAGATAAGACACTTGCTATCTATAGTAGAACATTTCCTGAAAGATAAGACAATTGCTGTCTTTTGTAAATCCTGCCCTTATATTAAGACTCATGTTCTGTCTACAGTGAAATTTATCCTGAGAGATAAGACACTGTTTAGAGTAGAACTCACCCCGAGAGATAAGACACTGTTTAGAGTAGAACTCAACCTGAGAGATCAGACACTGTTTAGAGTAGAACTCAACCTGAGAGAAAAGACATGTACTGCTAAAATATAACCTGTCCTTAGAGATAAGACACATATATATACTGTCTATAGTAGAATCTTTCCTGAGAGACAACAATCTAGCAAAACATTCTATCTCTTAATAGAACAATATGATTATTGTCCTTTTGGACTGCTTTTTGTAGCCACTTTTGTTGATGACTAATAAAGAAATACTTTCTTGAAATCATTTTGAAAAAAGTCAACAATATGAATATAACTTAGATTGTGGGAGGAGGGTTTAGAATGTCAATTTTGGCTTGAACATGCTCCATCCAATAATGCTTCATTGATTGCATACATGTAAATTCAGATAGAATTTAAAACCAGCACTTAAGCGAAAAGAAAAAAAAAGATGGATTATGTTATGGTTGTTTAGTATGGTAGAAACTTCCTTAGTGATGACACCTGTGAAACAGCTCTGCCGAATGATATATTACCTGTACAGATTACAGTGGGTGTGTATACATGACGTATATATATCAAAGTACTCAACCTGCCAGTGAAAATGTTTTCAAATCTAATCTCTGGTCATTCTTAAGACACATTCTTATTGATAAATTCTTAGTGTTATTTCTAATGTCGAGCTCTCTGTGAGAATGGCTTGTCAGATATTAACTGAATTTAAAAAAAAAATGAAAAAATGAAAAATAAAAAGTAAAATTGTAGACTTTGCGCCTTTTGCCAATTTTAAAATCAACTAATCCCAGTAAGATACACCTGATAATCAACCACTATAGTCAAAAGTCTGTTGGAATATTTTCTATAATCAATTGTTGCAAACATTTTCTAGTCAGCTTAACATGTATCAAAAAAGCTTTGTATCAATGTTTGCTTAAAGATGTCCGACTGTTTACCTCACTAAAGAAGCCATATAAAAAGAACAAGAAAACATTATGATTTTTTCAAATTTAATCATAGAATGTGAACAATAAATAAAAGCACCTATATATTCAAACCAACTTTGTAAATATCACAGTTTGCACTAAAAATTGCTTTGAAGAAATTGATAAAAGGATAGATATACATAATGAGTTTCATGCAAAGTGATTGGAACACCTAGGAATGCAGATTGAGAGTGTAGACTGATTATCTTGTTATTATCTAGTAAGTCTCCCTGTTACTTACACAATGTTATGAAAAGTAGAATTATGTGCCGTGACTTTAATCTTTGCAGTTTCAAGATTCTTAGGTTTGTGATGTATTTTAATAAGCAACGTTTATGGTTATATTGCAGTCACAGATTAAACTTTCTGCAAAAAATAGCGACATTGCTGAATTAACACGGCACACTAATTGCGTGAAGATGATCTGTGAACCCTATCTGATAGACATCAATCAGCATACAGTTTTTGCACGAGAACTTTTACTTGTCCCGATTTGTCGTAATCAGTGGCCACTTTATTCTCCTCGTCCACTGTCGCTACGTTGATACCACCGTGGATGAGACACATGGCTGTGTTTTTGTGGTTGTGCATGATGGCCGCGTGGAGAGCAGTCCTCTGTTTGTTATCGTAGCTATTTATGTTGACGCCACACCGTAGCAGCAGACGTACACAGTCCAAGCTTCCAGTTCGTGCCGAATAATGGAGCGGTGTTGACCCTTGGAGGTCTCGAAGGTTTATATTAGCACCGTACTGGAGGAGAAGACTCGCCACGCCTACAGTACCGGAGTCTATAGCGTTGTGTAGGGGCGTCTTGTTTCCTATGGTCAGCATGTTTACGTTAGCGGCATGCTTCAGTAGAAGAGAGGTTATGTCCACTGAACCATTTGTTGTGGCGAGGTGCAAGGCAGATTTACGAAAATTTGTCGTAAGATTTACATCGGCACCATTGTCGATGAGTAGTCTGGTTATTGGGAAATGACTTATTGCACATGCCATGTGGAGAGGTGTCCTTCCCATTAACTTTTCTTTCGTGTTCACGTTGGCTTGACTTCGACGTAGAATCAGTTTCACCACATCGAAGTAGCCTTCTGACACAGACAGATGTAGCGGAGTAGTCCCCGTGCGATCTTTACTGCTCACATCAGCGTTCTTTGATATAAGTAATTTTGTCAAATCGGGATGTTTATACCCTATAGTCATATGTAGAGCATTCCTGCCAGAGTTGTCACTAGAATTGACATCAGCACCCCTCTCAATCAGAAATGATGTCATTTTCAAATTGTTCTTCAGTAGAGACATATGGAACGAAGACCGGCCAGTCTTATCTCCCGTATTAATGGCCGCTCCGCGATCTACCAACATCTCCACAGCCTTCAAACGGTCACCCAGGATCAGTTTATGTAACAAGGTGTTGCCACTTTTGTGACACACAGTTTCGTTGACGTCTGCTCCGTGGTCTATAAGTATCTTAGATGTGGCCAGGTTGTTGTAGAGAATAGACTTGAGCAGTGGTGTTTCCCCAGCATTATCTCGACAGTTGATGTCCACTCCCAGCTCCAGCATTATCCGCAGGATCTGTGGTCGAATGCGCTGAGCCACACAGTGGAGGGCCGTCGTACCTTCCGCTGTGATGGTGGTAAATATCTCGGGACAGTATTGGTCATACTTGTTCATCACATTTACTGTCTCATCTTCGTCGCCGAGAACAATGGCCTTGACGAGTGCTGTAGAACCAGCCTCGAGCTCTGCGTAGTTCCTCATCAGGTAGGTCATAATCCACAAAACGAAATTCAACGAATGATATTAGAATTATTTCAAGAATTTTGGCAAGTCATTTTTAAAAAACACAAATGATCAAGGTCAAAGTTCAAAGTGACTGCTCTAACAACAGTCACTGAGCCTGGAGTTGGTCAGACTCTTATTAATGCAATAGACCTATAACACACATATTGTTAAGTCTGTCACTTCCACATATAGTTCATTAAATAGGGTTAACTAAATACAAACCAGGAATATTGCACTTGTCCACTTACAGACTCTAGTTTTCTATTTTTATCCTCCTAATGAACACATTCCTCCCATTTTATCCCAAAGATAGTTCCCTATATGCACTGGTGTATCCAGGGTGTTCCGGATTCTGACCAAGGTATGGTTGTCTAGGGCCGTAAAGGAGACTCTCACTCGAGAAGTTTATGGCTGGGTCTGAAGCAGCTTGTTATGTGGATAAATCGTTATGGTTTCCTAGAGAGGTACTCGTTGGTATCTACCCGCGCCTCTTAGATCTACCTATAATGCTTGGTGTTTAGGACACTTCATACAGGCCTGTACGTCATCACAAACTTTGGTCCAATCCTGCGTCTTATAGACATGTTCTGTCCACTTGTTGTCCTTAGCTGACCAGTAAATCCAGTACTTAAGAATACACTTCAGCAAATATCCATCTTTTAAGTCCAGAGTGTTACACATATATGTGATTTTTTTTTATGTTCAAATTAAATTCATGCGTAGTCACAACTTGTACCTCTTGAAGAACACACAGAATACATCTGAATAACTTTTCTAGAGATTATAATGTTTAGGGGTACAAATGTCTGAGAATTTGTCCCACACTTGTATGACCACAAATTCGATCACAAACATGTCAAAATGTGATTCTCTGATTAAATATTGCACCAGTACACTAAAAAGAATGACAAGGAGCCATTACGTCCATTGTCAGACGAGTGTGTAGGTATGTAGCCAACGTCTGAGGAGGGAGACAGTTGCTATTTTCCCACCTAAGTACAACAACGGATTAGGGGTGTTTGTCAACAGTCAATAACCTGTCACTTTCCTTGCAAATCAATTTCCAGGTGTAATAACTTTCTCCTCAAGTGCTTTTACCTGTGGGTGATTGAGCTCGTTCTAGTCCACTAATCCATATACCTTTATAACTGACGGGACTTGCGTATATCCGCCTGTGTCACTCCAACTCGCTGGTCATCAGTCAGAGTTAACATGGACACAAACCTGCCTTTGTCCCTTCACACTGGAATCACTGTCCGAGTCAAATCGCGTAACAGTAATACAACCGTTTAGATCCTATCTCGGCCCGTTATGATAGGCAGCCCTTTACAATATCGTGTTTCACTTCTCATATCACCTATCAAGTTAACATTAAATTTCCTCAGCCAAACAAGGTGGCCGCTATTGGCTCCAGTCTCCCTTTGCACACACACTCAGGAATAATTATTTGTTTAAGTTTTGATTTTGTCTTTATAGTGACGTCCTTTGAAGCAAGGAATCACTTTACCGCTGGACAATCTCCGGTAGATTTAATTGAAACTGCAAGTGTCTGTTGTAAACGTCATTGATGGACAAGTAGTGATCGTTCATGAGTAATGGTAGGGTAAAGGTTCCAAGTCTGTTATAACGACTGTATCCCAAGTCAGTCAGTCGGTTGGTATGGTGGAAACGTCAACCTTTTTCGCTCATCTTCAAATTTTGAAAAGTAAACTTGTTTTGCAAACTTGATGTCACAAAGCACTTGCTTAGTGTACACAGGGTTTTAGTGGTATGTAATTTAAACAGAGCCGTTGTTTACTCAAGCTTGTCAATGTTGGGACAAGTGATGTCCCGATAGGCTGGGTCCCCTTCACAGAGCTGCACTGGTCTATCCGGCTAATACCCTGTGTAGGTACGCTGTTCAAACCTGGAGAATCTGATTAAAATCGTCCAGTTTATATTACCTTTAGGTCCTTTTATTGGTCCAGTTGGATTAGCCATCAGTTTTAGGGTCATCCTTTGACCAGATAAGTCGTCTCTGACCAGCTTTCAGGGTAATGAGAATCTTGTCCTTCTCTCAGCTGTTAATTATGATATTGATCAATCTCACATGGATGTGTATTAATCTCTACCTACACTCTGGCTTATCCACACAGGCTCGGCCAGCTGTAGTGCTCAGTAAACTTTATACACGTAATTCTACATCTAATCCCTGGAACGATTCTCATCCTTCTCGTACCTGGTAATTCTACTACATTCTATATCTATTATTACCTGATTTCCACTTAGACTTGGGTGTGTCTACATACCTATGAAGCATTGTTTCACGGATCATAAAATGTTTCAGACCCACAGATTTTACCCAATAAGATATACTTAAAATGATTGCGTAAAGCTGAGAGTTTCACCATTACAATTGATATGGTTAAATTATAGACGAATCGTTGACCATTAAGAATGAAAGGGACACAAACACACACAATATTTAAAAAGCCCGACTGTGAATCATTTACCTCTTACAGCCCATTATTGACAGGGGCGCTGGGTGTCAGTCGTTGTGTATATATTGCTCATTGTCCGTAAGATTTTTAAGAATTTCTTGTTATTGCCGTCAATCTATAAACACAACTCATATAAATCCGAATTGAAAATGTCATGAATTGAGAAAATATAAATAGTTTATATGAATGCAGGATCAAAATTGAAAAATGCATTAAGCTAATATATCCTGTTGTGGTGTTAAAGGGTTGGCCTTTCCCGTGACTTATCATACAGGTACACAATACGTGGGTGTGAGCACCATACGTCTGGGGTGAAAGCAATGGTATCAAATAAACTGTTCAAGGCTTGGCAAACAAAATATTGTATACCGCCTTTGAAAAAATGATGTTTTGAAGCAGACAAAAAAAATGTTTTAGACATTTTTAGAAAAATTGGAAAATTTCCAATAATATACTAATTTATGATGGAAATATGATAATTGCACTCATGCTTATTCCGTAAAATGAGCATAACTTTTCATGTACCTCCGCTTACATGTTTAGGTAACAGGGTAATACCAAAATCACTGTCTGTCCATCTTTGTGTCCGTCCGTCCAGGATTCAGAGATTTCTATACTATTACCTGTCTTATCTTAAAGCTACATTAATCAAACTACATGGTAAACAGAATGAGTAACCATGGGTTGAGGAGGGTTAATATTCATAATAGAGTTCAAGGAATAGGGTCACAATGACCTGCTGTGTGAAGATTGTTTTTGGACCCTTTAGTAGAATTCTGCTTAATGTACGAGTGCCCATTGTTGTGCCATCGGGTTTTTTTAAATTTGAAATTCTGTAAAGCATTAATATTTATTTAGCATCAGTAATGTTTCAGTCAGATTTGTGATCCTTGTAAAGCTTAAGTGATATGTTTGTAAATTTCTGGCAACTCGGAAGTGAAATGATGGTAAATTGACATTTCAATAATTTAAAGGAATTTTGGAACTCATTATTGTGCCGATTAGACATACATTTAAATGCAAGGGTAAGTTTTGCTTGTAGTGGGAATTAAGAACACATTATTATGCCATTTTTAATATATGGTACATATTAACAGTTTAAAATGAAAAGTTTATTTGATTTTAAGATGCCTGGGGCACCATGACTGAGCCCCTGTGACGTCATTGTTTTGAACAGCTGGGGTGCCACTTTTCACATTCAGGTCATGAGAAGTTTTTGACACCGACAATTATTATTAAAAATTAATTATCGGTCCTTTTGAATAAAATAAAAAAAATCGGTAGCTTACTACTAGGAATGTTATAAGGTTACAGTTCCGTTGAAGTTTTGGCAGCTTGAATCAGAATCAAAGCAACTACGAATAAATACACTATGGGTTAAATGGAGTTTGGTAAAAACTATGAACAGGTTTTATAGAGTGTAGGAGCTATCCACAGCACCTACTGATACTGACCATGTGTTGGGGATTACCACATCAACAACTGATACTGACAATGTGTTAGGGGCTACCACATCACCAACTGTTACTGACAATGTGTTAGGGGCTACCACATCACCAACTGATACTGACAATGTGTTAGGGGCTTACCACATCACCAACTGTTACTGACCATGTGTTAGGGGCTTACCACATCACCAACTGTTACTGACAATGTGTTATGGGCTTACCACATCACCAACTGATACTTACAATGTGTTGGGGGTTACCACATCACCAACTGTTACTGACAATGTGTTAGGGGCTACCACATCTCCAACTGATACTGACAATGTGTTAGGGGCTTCCCACATCACCAACTGTTACTGACCATGTGGTAGAGTATTACCGAATCACCAACTGTTACTGACCATGTGTTAGGGGCTTAGCACATCACCAACTGTTACTGACAATGTGTTATGGGCTTACCACATCACCAACTGATACTTACAATGTGTTGGGGGTTACCACATCACCAACTGTTACTGACCATGTGTTAGGGGCCTACCACATCACCAACTGTTACTGACAATGTGCTAGGGGCTTACCACATCACCAACTGATACTTACAATGTGTTGGGGGTTACCACATCACCAACTGTTACTGACCATGTGGTAGAGTATTACCGAATCACCAACTGTTACTGACCATGTGTTAGGGGCCTACCACATCACCAACTGTTACTGACCATGTGGTAGAGTATTACCGAATCACCAACTGTTACTGACCATGTGTTAGGGGCCTACCACATCACCAACTGTTACTGACAATGTGTTAGGGGCTACCACATCACCAACTGTTACTGACAATGTGTTAGGGGCTACCACATCACCCACTGATACTGACAATGTGTTAGGGGCTTACCACATCACCAACTGATACTTACAATGTGTTGGGGCTTACCACATCACCAACTGTTACTGACAATATGGTAGGGGCTTACCACATCACCAACTGTTACTGACAATGTGCTAGGGGCTTACCACATCACCAACTGATACTTACAATGTGTTGGGGGTTACCACATCACCAACTGTTACTGACCATGTGTTAGGGGCCTACCACATCACCAACTGTTACTGACCATGTGTTAGGGGCCTACCACATCACCAACTGTTACTGACCATGTGTTAGGGGCCTACCACATCACCAACTGTTACTGACCATGTGTTAGGGGCTTAGCACATCACCAACTGTTACTGACAATGTGTTAGGGGCTTACCACATCAACAACTGATACTGACAATGTGTTAGGGGCTACCACATCACCAACTGTTACTGACAATGTGCTAGGGGCTTACCACATCACCAACTGATACTTACAATGTGTTGGGGGTTACCACATCACCAACTGTTACTGACAATGTGTTATGGGCTTACCACATCACCAACTGATACTTACAATGTGTTGGGGCTTACCACATCACCAACTGTTACTGACAATGTGTTAGGGGCTACCACATCACCCACTGATACTGACAATGTGTTAGGGGCTTACCACATCAGCAACTGTTACTGACCATGTGGTAGGGGCTTACCACATCCCCAACTGTTACTGACCATGTGTTAGGGGCTTAGCACATCACCAACTGTTACTGACAATGTGTTAGGGGCTTACCACATCACCAACTGATACTTACAATGTGTTGGGGTTTACCACATCACCAACTGTTACTGACAATGTGTAAGGGGCTTACCACATCAACAACTGATACTTACAATGTGTAAGGGGCTTACCACATCACCATCTGTTACTGACAATGTGTTAGGGGCTTACCACATCAACAACTGATACTGACAATGTGTTAGGGGCTTACCACATCAACAACTGATACTGACAATGTGTTAGGGGCTTACCACATCACCAACTGTTACTGACAATGTGTTAGGGGCTTACCACATCACCAACTGTTACTGACAATGTGAAGGGGGCTTGATACTGACAATGTGGTGGGGGCTTACCACATCACCAACTGATGCTGACAATGTGGTGGGGGCTTACCACATCACCAACTGTTACTGAAAATGCGGTGGGGGCTTACTTTATTAGCAAGTGATTTTGACAATGTGACAATCTGACCTTTCAGTGAAATTTGACATACAAAACTGGTAGATAAACAATTTCCTGACTGGGATGTACATCGGTGTCTAGACGAGTCAATTTAATCATTAATTCAAGAGTTCAAGTTATTCAGGGTTTAAATTTTTATCTATGATTGTAAAACTTGAAAATCCTAACATAAACTTATCGGATTGTATTTGCTAAGAATCCTTCGAAAAACATTATAATAAAGGGATTTGTTTTACAGAAGCGCCCTGTTGGCCACACCCATCCAGTACAAGGCACAGGGTAAGTTACCACTGGGTACACCAGTGTTATCAATAACACATGTGTTACACAAGCTTACATGTTACAAAAGGCTTTATTTAAAGTCGCAGCATACTGTATAAACATGAGACTTTTGAGAGCTTTTATTGCATCCAACAGTAATATATATAATAGCTCTTACATTTTTATAATAACAGACCCTTATGAAGGCATATAATTACATACTGTTTACATTATAACAAAAAACTAATTGTTATATCACATATGGAGGTAGATCATTTTTACCCAGGTTTCTAAGAGATCAGGAATCTCCTACCTACGTAGGTCCACAAGACATGACACTTCAGTAGTTAAATATTAAAAGGATTTCATTAGGACTTCATGACACAATTCATGAACATAGTGTTAATACACAGAATGTTTATAGCACTATCGGTACCATTTTATTTTATTTTTTGCAAAGTTTTATTAGAAAATACAGGCTGCTTCTCCTAGTCAAAAAGAAGTTTATGAAATATCTATCCAATTTTAAAATATTGCTATGTGTTCCTATTCATGTTGGAACAGGTAGCTGTAAAATTTAGGTAGAAAAAACTTAAATGCTTGCGTATATGCTAATATAGCAAAAGGTAACTTGTAAAGCTTCATACATTTTAGCTGTGTAATAAATTATATTTCTATTTTGTATGTTGTTGAAATGTCTATTTCTAGAAGAAATTGTATATAACCTTATTTTGAAAGAGAGAGGGTTCAGATTTATGTGATCTTGTTTTGGTTCTATGAGAGGATGCATTTGTCTTGTTTACCTAAGAGGATGTAATCGTAAGTAATTTAGTTTTGTTTCTCTGACCAAAGTGAGAACAAGGAAAATCATATGACCAATGGTCACCACAACGGTCACCACCATGTCATGGTCGAGCGACCACACACAAGTGCTGGTCACCACATAGAACTCCAGTTGTCTATCCCAGGGGACACCTCCCTGGACACGTCGCACTCCAGTGATACATCCCGCACCACCCCTACAGGGCACCGCTCCAACGCACGCCATCACCCGTCTCCAAGGTTTGGACCATTTGCAGGGTAAGGCATGACTTATTTTTAAAATGTAATGGAAATGTAATTAACTTCAAAGCTTTTAAAGAAGTTGTACAGATATTGAAATTTCAAGATTTAGTTCTGATTGTAGAAGAAAATTTCTTGACAGAAATAGCATTTCCAATTATTCATATATATCTATATAGCTGGAAAAGAAGTTTTGAATCTGCTAGAATCAGCCACTCTGTCTGTAAAAAGTTTGATTCCAGTCCCATTACTATAGTATCTAATTACCAGCACTCCTAAGTATTAGTATAGTCGTTACTGTAACCGTCACCGAGCCCATATGCATTTTTGTTTTGTGATAATGACACAATGAAAAAACTGTTTACAAATTAAGGAAAAAAGTGGCTACTGCGAGGGCGAGGCCTTTTAGTGCTGTGGATGCCTATAGGTACATCGTGGCTCACCCCATCAGACCGTCAGAGAATGCCTACAACAGTTCATACCAACAACAACGAACAGAGGCCTGGAAACAATCAGTACAGGCTCGGGCACAGCAAAACAAAGGTACAAAAAAGCAGGGATTGGTGGGATGTCACTTTGTCAGGGATTGGTGGGATGTCACTTTGTCAGAGACTGGTGGGATGTAAAATGATCAGGGATTGGTGGGATGTAACATGGTCAGGGATTTGTGAAAGATGTCAAATAGTTAGGGATAGGTGGGATGTCACATAGTCAGGGATAGGTGGGATGTCACATAGTCAGGCATTGGTGGGATGTCACATAGTCAGGGATAGGTGGGATGTCACATAGTCAGGGATTGGTGGGATGTCACTTTGCCAGGAATTGGTGGGATGTAACATGGTCAGGAACTGGTGGAATGTAACATGGTCAGGGATTGGTGGGATGTAACATGGTCAGGGATTGGTGGGAGATTTAAAATAGTTAGGGATAGGTGGGATGTCTAAAAGTCAGGGATAGGTGGGATGTCACATAGTCAGGGATTGGTGGGATGTCACATTGTCAGGGATTGGTGGGATGTAACATGGTCAGGGATTGGTGGGATGTCACATAGTCAGAGATTGGTGGGATGTAACAAGGTCAGGGATTGGTGGGATGTCAAATAGTCAGGGATTGGTGGGATGTCACATGGTCAGGGATTGGTGGTATGTCAAATAGTCAGGGATTGGTGGGATGTAACAAGGTCAGGGATTGGTGGTATGTAAAATAGTCAGGGATTGGTGGGATGTCACATAGTCAAGGATTGGTGGGATGTCACATAGTCAGGGACTAGAGGGATATCACATTGTCAGTGATTGGTGGGATGTTGTATAGTTAGTGATTGGTGGGATGTCACACAGTCAGGGATTGGTGGGATGTCACATAGCAAGTGATTGATGGGATATTATATTGTCAGGGACTAGAGGGATATCACATTGTCAGGGATTGGTGGGATGTTGTATTGTCAGTGGTTGGTGGGATGTTGTATAGTCAGTGATTGGTGGGATGTCACATAGTCAAGGATTGGTGGGATGTCACATAGTGAGGGATTGGTGGGATGTCACATAGCAAGTGATTGATGGGATATTATATTGTCAGGGACTAGAGGGATATCTCATTGTCAGGGATTGGTGGGATATTACATTGGAAGTGATTGGTGGGATATCACATTGTCAGTGATTGGTGGGATATTACATTGGAAGTGATTAGTGGGGTATCTCATTGGAAGTGATTAGTGGGATATTACATTGGAAGTGATTAGTGGGATATCACATTGTCAGTGATTGGTGGAATATTACATTGTAAGTGATTGGTTGGATGTCAAATGAAGCCAGTGACTGGAAGAAGTTACTGTGGCTGATTGGATGTTACATAATCAGGGATTCATTAGTTGATAAATAGTCAGCAATTGGTGGGATGTCACATTGCCAATTATTAGGAAACTATAAATACAAGAGTTACATTATTGAGAAATCCATATCACTTTTAAAAATATGTGGTCCCCTTTTCAAAGTACGATAATGATATATATAGATTTTTAATCATATTGAATATTTCCCATGTACTCTACCGTTGTTATGTGAGAGTTTAGCTTGTTATATGATGATGACAGGTGCATTAAGTTTTGTCTACGAGGAAAGGGAAGAAGGTAAGATCAGTATTCAGTTTGGTGATAACTGAAATTGGTGTTGTCATATACAGGCTGTAGGGGCTTTATCGTACCTATATAGTTTGTATGATTATACAGTACATATATCAACACCTATATATGAGGTGGGGTGCTGGTTGATTAGTGTGGAAAAGGTGTAACCTCAGGATCATGGTATTGTTTTCCGACAAGTGTAGAAATAGAATCAGATGATCATTATGAGTGACTGTATAAGTGTATGTTTTTATGCTTCATTTGATTCATTAAGCTATTTTATTATTGGCCCACTTGATACAAAGTGTTGGTAACCGTAGACCAATATATGACACATTATCAGTATTTTAGCTCACCTGAAAGCTTTAAAACTGAAGTTTATGAATGATTCAAACGGAATCTTAATTAACTTGTTGGAGCTGTAATAAATATTTGCAGCATATACATTTAAATAAGGATGTTGTTATTTGCTGAGGCTAACGGTGAAGCCATTTGGGGTGAAGGTCATATGACGGTAGTTATTTGATACGTCAATTTCTCTTAATATAATGAGGTGAAATGTCAAGGTCACAATAAAAATTTGAAATTCAAGTTTTAAAAAGACAAAAATGAACATGCTGTTTTTGTTTTACACGACAGTTTCCTGTTTTAGATGTTACCATAATTCATTCCATATAATTATTGTCGTATGTTTGAGGTCAAATTTAGAGGTCATAGTCATGGACGTTATGAATTGATCTAGTTATCTCTCAAGGTAAACACTGTTGTTTTGATCCTTATTTGTTTACTGTGAATTTTAAAGAGGCAAACGAGGAGACAATTCCACCCCCAGTTATTACAGTCCAAATGGCTGTAGTACAGCCAGACAATGAAGATACAGGTAAACCAACGTCAGATGACACTCACCTTTTGGGTTTGGCTGAAACACCTGCACTTTTTTTCTTTTTCTTTTAATTTTTCATTAAATTTAAAATGAAGCTAATTTTCAATATTTATTAATTCATATTAAAACACTGTTCTCTTTTGTTTATATATATCGCACATGAATTAGGAGATCTCCTTGTCAGCTTTCAATAATTAGTCCCAATTATTTAAAAAGATTAATTATTATATCTGCTAAGATCTGTCTTTTAACAATTTCAATTTTTTCACTCTTTTTAAAATTTTCTTGGTATTTGTACAACTTTGTCACAGAATCAAGAACTGTGATCTCAACAAAACAATTCCTCGGAGCTTGTCAATCCTGTCTTTGTTTGATTTTTCACCATTTGCATTTTTCCTTTTTTCTTTTTTACAAAATTTCACAATTGTATTACTCTGTTTCACCACACACTTTTGTCATGACTCTAGGCCTTTTGTTTGTTTCTTCAAAAGAACTCTTTTCAAGGTCACAAGGATCAAAAATGTAAATAAAAATTCAAACAACTTCTTCTGAAGGACCAAAAGGCCTACAGTCATAATATTTGGCTGATAGCTTCCTTGGATGGAGCACAACAAAATTATTACTCAGTACCATCTTACACTTGTATTACTAAATTTCAACATCAAACATTACTCTGTATCGTAGCCACACATTTTTCCTTACTCTATTTTTGCATGTAGTTTTTCTAGAAAAAACAAGTTTCAATTTTGCGTGTTTTTGACTCTGCTCTAGTTCTTGTTTAATCTACTATTTTAAAAAATATTTGCTTCATTTCCTTCTAACTTTCAGGTTTATTAAAAAGTGAGCAGGTGTTATTATAGAAGTCATTATTAGTGAAGATATTTGAAGGTGTAAAATAATGATGTGCAACATAACACCTTGCTCATGTTACATGTCTTGTTATGCTGCCACTTTTTGTCCTGATAAATTTTGGCATTCTAAAGGGGTTTGGCATTATAAAGGGGTTTGGCAAGGCATCAAGGCAGGCATATAAAGGAATTCTTAAAAGGAAAAAAGGTAAAAAGGACCTTGAAATATGTTTGGTGGTAAACATTAAGGTGGCAAATAAAGTGACATGGGGATAATATCTAAGTTTTACTGTAAATTTTGTTTGAAGCTGGGATACTTGCTTTGTATACAAGAAGAAAGCAAAACTAAAATATAATACCAGTACTGTGAATTTAAAACTTCACAAAACTTATTTCACTAAAAATCAAGTAAGTTTGTACCTGGTAAGTATGAATTTGTAACAAGTTTTGGGGGATATTAGCTCGAGATCAGCAGGGTCCATTGGGTACAATTTTATTATTATGTATAATAGATATTGCAGCAGTCCAAACATAAAATGTCTGTGCAAAATAGAATATCCAGGTAAGAAAGCAGTGACATGGGATTATAATGATAATCTTCCTTACATGGCATTTCATGTGACTTAGTCATAATTGTGACGTCACGATGATGATAATGGTATTACATCATAATTTTACAATAAAAACTCATCATATCAACTTTCGAAGCAGACAGAAAAATTGACTTATTTCTCAATGTATGTTTTTGGATTTGTAAAGGGTGGATGGGAAAGAAAATACAATTTTACATGCCAGTGTATGTAAAAGATAGTTCAGTTGTTAGTGTTAAGGATTGGAAGATAAGTTAATACTGCTGTCATTGTTATTGATATGGAGTTGGAAAAGCTTGTGTTTTATTGCCATGTATAATCCCTTGGCAGGACTACTGACACTTGTACATGCTGCTCCAGACAGTCCGGTAGATTTGATTTCTGCCTTAATCCTAACGTGTCTTGTTATCACTATCTACGCTGTGATAAAGTGATTTTTTATAGATTAATGAATATTGTCAGAGAAAAACTCTTATTAATGTTGATAACATAGTTTTCTTGAATAAATATTTTTGCAATTTGTTCAAAAGTACTTATAATCACCAGGATTTTAATTCATGAAAAGAACAATAGCATGTATGTATCACTTCGTGAAATGTATCGGAATCAATAATTATGAGATAACGTTTTTACGGAAAAAAATGGATGCTGCCAAAATTAGGAACTTTTGGTGCAAGTGTTTGGGATATCAGGGTTGTGGCATATTATAAATTCCAGAATGGCAGAGTTGTGAGTAACAGGACTCAATCATAGCCATTGTATTAATGCACTATAACAGTATCAAATGTTTTATTCCTGTACGAAATAACAATTCCACATTTTGCATAGGTGGGGATTGTATAGCTCATTGTGCATAATAAATGAGTAATCCGGCTGTTGTGATCATAGGGGCAAGGCACTGACTAAACCCCAACCCTTATTTGCTTATATTGTGACATTATACATATATATAAGCATATAGTGGTTGGGGGTTAGCATGTGCCTTACCCCTGTGGTTATGATGACATATTTTGGACATCATGATATTTTAATGTGTTAACATTTTGCCTCATGCACTCCTACAGCCAGATTAACCAAAATATCACCACATCAAGAATATCCCAAACGTACAGCATTTGACTTTTCGTCCAAATTCCCTTGGGAGTTAAATAAAAAATAACTTCTTACAGTAGTCTGAGGCAGAATAAATGTGTTGTACCTTTACTTGGCAGAGGAAACTATTATTAACAAGTCTGAAACCTAAAAGTCCTCTGTGTAATGGTGATGTAATAATTTGGTCGTAAAGGAAATTGACCTAACTCCGTACTTACATTATGCTGTTACCGTACAGTAGGTAACTGGTCACCACCCCCAGCAAGACCGTCGTCACCAGCAATGAAAAACAAGACTGTGTCACGCCCAGGAAGTGCAGTCCTCAACCTTTCCACTGGAAACCACTGGCTAGCAGGGGGTAGGGATGTCTACTGGGAAAACGCTAAAAGACGACCAATGTCCGGACATGTTCCAGGGTGGAAGGAAGGGTTACCAGACAACATGCAGCGTCCGCGATCAGCTGTGGCCTCACGGACATGGAGGTGACTTTATTTCAATGGCTCCATCTGATTTTACAAATTTTACCCTTTAGGAAAGATATGTTGGCTTGACGTTGGTATATATTAACTCATTCACCCCTGAAATTTCATAATGAGCTATTCCAACCTTTGATTTGGAAGAGTTCAAATGTGTCTTCAGGGGTGAATGAGTTAAAGATACAGGTAGTTCCTACATTGTCTGCTAAGACAGGTTAGAATATTCCACTTTGCTTCCTTGTTATCAACATTTGACATTTCATCCAGAGAAAAAAAATAAAAATATTAAGGAAGGATGTTTGAAAATTCACATAATTATTTGGCCTTGAAATAGTGGTTCCAGGCAAACCATGGATCACTAATGGGATTGAAGGGTGAGACTTACAGACATTTTCTGAATTTTAATGAAATTGGTAATTACCTGTTTGATGAAGAGTTTTCTGTATAATTTCCTGTGAACTTGTGTGTGGTATCTGTTTTCAGTAGAAGATCTAAGACGCCGACTCCTGTCACCCCGTCCTCCCTGATGTATGAAAGTGTCATGCAAGGTAAGGTCTGCACTCCGTGAGACTGAACATATTCTCTAGTATATACATGTTGACCGTAAAACACAGCAGAATCTTACTCATCTTACAGTTCCTCTGGTAATCTTTAATGTTCTTTAATTTTGCAGTCTACAATGTTTAGTCGTAAAATTTATACTTTTGCGCTGTGTATTACACATTTACTAGTACAGTACTGATATTTTGATGTTCAGTTTTCTGTGTTTGTAAAATTTAGATAAGGGATTACTTAATTCCTATCATCTACATATAATGGTTACACAACTGTTCTGTGTTAAAATTTCAGCATTTTTATAATTTATTCGTGACATTTTAGCTTCTCTAGGTTGTGTACATACACAATTATTTATTAATCATATTCAAGCTTCAAATGATTCAAAATAAATTTTCTACCTTAAATTTATGTTAAATTCATATTTCCAGAGGAGGATTTTTTAAAGTACGGGTACATGTGTATAAGTCATCAAAGTATAAAACTTGATTTTGCATTTCAAATTGCAGATTCTTCTGGTTTCATAAACATGTACATGTAGTGAACATATTAAAACTACAATTAATATGCAAAATCATTATGGACTAAATTTTAATCTTCTATGGGCTATTCTGATGATCTTTAATTAATATTGGCATTTTCAGATTCATGAACAAAGTGACACTTTCCCATTTCTAATGTTATGTAATGTAAAGTTTACACTGATAAATGTGGTGTACGATGTTGGTCTAATTTTCAGGGGAAATTGTTGCTTTGCATAGCATCAATGAAGAATTGGGTAATTTAAAAATTGAAAGCTATGATGGGCTTTACAAGGAATCTTCAGTTAGTCTGGTATCCTGGATAATCTCTTGAGTGCAGTTTCTCCCAAGCTTGAAGTTTTCTATTATGAATTCACTGCTGTTTCTATATTTATGCTTCCAATGACTGATGCTGGATTTTTTTCTGAACAGATTTAGTTTAGTTACTTCCAGATTTTATTTATATGCATACTTAATAATATAAGTTTTAATCCACTTACTGGTAAGTAGATCAAGCAGGTAGTGTAAAATTTACAAGTGAGCAGCACACAATTTTATGCTGGCATAGAGACATCAGCAAGGGGTCATGCTTGTTAAAGGGAGATAATTCAATTCATAAATCATAAAACTGTTATTAAATTACATTTTATTCTGCAAGAATGCTTTATCATAATTTATCCATATGAGATCAAGGACGTCATATTTACTGTAACTTGCCCTACATAATAAGTGTTGTAGTGAACCTGGACTGGGTAGAACAGGTAGCTTAATTCATGAGAGTACCACTAAAGCCCCCTGTCCCTTATCTGGTTCTACTGGTTTGTCTGATTTCAAATGTAACATTTTTGGGTATAAACCCTTGCGGATCTGCAAATGTTTATGCAGGTCTTGCAAGGCCTTGTCAAGGCTCACTTGAAAGCAGCATTAGTTTACTAGGTCCAACCTTATTTCATAAACAAACAATTTTGGTTCAACCATTTGTATTGCAAAAACACTGAATGTTGCCCTATAGTGTTCAGAGGTCCTTTGTATCCCAGTCCGGTTGTAGGTTGTTGCATTTTTTCCTTTCCTGTTACAGCAAAATTCTCACATCATTTCTGTCAAAGAAACAAGCTTGTCTGCAGCACTGTATTTATTGCATGCTAACTGTTAGGTACAGCTCCAGACTATATGTATTATAGGTACCTAGTACAATATGTGGCAAGTACAATTAACTAGACTGTTTTCTCTGAGTGGCCACAGTTATAGGCACATTATTTTAGGATAAATAAAGCAGGAAATATTCAGTTTATAAACATCCTGACATGCAGGTCAACTGTCCTGAATGATTGGAGTCAGGATTATTGCAGTTCCATTGTATATACATTTCTTTTTCTTTTAGATATGAGGCTGTATTCCTTAATTCGAGGGCGACCGAGTCTTAGAGCTTGATCAGAGCAAGCCATTTAGGTTTATACTTAACATTGTACCTTTATACACTGTTTGAGTCACCAACAAAAACCAGCACATGTTGTATTCCAGTCACGTATTGGAGTTTGGTTCAGTTATGTTCAGTGTATTGTTGTATACAAGCTTATTTTTTCAGCAGTTTTATTTCATAATTATTTTATTTCAAGGTAAATCGTGGCATTCAAAACATGATTCAAAATCGCTGATGACTGGGTATTTTCTACCTAACATTTCTCTTTTTTTTTTGCTAGGGAAAGCAGCCTGTTTTTTAACTGTAAAACTAGACAAAAGAATCATTTGGATGATGTATGACCTGACCAGATGGAAATGGCAAATGCCACATAATACATATATTTGTAAATGTATTTTTTACATTATAGAGAAATACTACTGCATTAAATATAAGCTGTATACAGTATCAATAACACTCCAGTCACTCACTGCCTTGGTGGTTACTACGGAAACATTGTATACCAACATAGTTAATACATCATGGTGTCAGATATATAATCATGCATGTCAAGTAAGCCCGCTTATAGGTGGAAAAGGGGATCATTGTACTCTTTATATTGGATAGTATTTAACACAGGTATATAACAACCCAATTCTCTTCCAAACTACAATAGACTTTTGTTGGTAAATATATTTTTTAGAATTCAAAATTTATGAATCAAACTGTCAGTGGCTTTATCATTGATTTTATAGGGTGGGCATTGTAATACAAATAGTAAAATTTGGAAATGAAGATCAAAGATTAGATGATAACTTGTATTTTTCATAGCGAGGATTGGTTAAAATCTAGAATTTTTTCAACAACTAGGCCAAACAAATTAATTTTTTAAGTATGCTTGAAATTAATTTTGAAACTCTGATTAGCAGATGATTGTATCGTTTCTATCAAGTTTAGTACAGGAATATGTCACAGATTGCATTTGAAGGATGATCAGCATCTTACTACCTCACAAGACCCTTTCTTAACCCAGAAGCTGTGACTCTTTGTATGATTGTGTTATTGTTTTGTTGTGCAGGTTACCAGAACCCCTGGTCACTCCCTGAGCTAACTGACCTATCTGACTACCCCTCCCCCACCCACCAGTACTCCCAGCCCCGGGCCCTAGGCACACCCACGCACGGAACAGATTTCTACAACCCACCAGCTCCCGACACTGTCTATAGGTAGAGCTAGCCTACATTCAATGTCTGTAACATACCATAATTTCAATTTATACAACTGACCCCTACTAGTTGTGGCCAGACTGACCAATTCTGACCAATCACTAATGCACATGGCATGTTCTATTTTAAGATAAAAAAATGAATGAATTTAGTAGGTAGTACGTCCAGTTAGGAAAATGATAATACTAGGTCACCAGGGATAAGGGATATTACTAGGTTTTGGTCAGTCTGTTTGGGATTTTTTATACCTAACCATTAGAACTGCTGTGATATTAAAATATAATATTAGTGGTACATAACAGGTCTAGTCATGCATGTAAAATACCTGCCTTATAACCAACCAACCATTCCCTTTCATAACATATAACCTTTCACTCATAAATATGTATTTATTATGTCCAATACCTGTATAGCCACAGTGCGAGGGGAGATAACTCATTATGGAAAATTTTCTAAAAATGCAAATATTTACATGTATATCTAGTTGTTATTTCATTTCTCGTTTGTTTTGTTTTGTTTATGAGATATTGACAGTTTTGCCGTACTCAATCTAGATTTTAAATGAACTAGTGTCATCTGAATTTTTTTTTTTTTTTTTTTTTTTTTTTTTTTTGTGAGGAAGAATAGTATGATTTTTGTCTAAATTGTATTTTTGTACAAATTTAACTCAATTTTTTGAATTGTTTGGTAGTACAGTGTATTCTATTTCATTTGATTTTCTAGTTTTTGAGATTGTGAAAAACAACACATCACAGTTTTTAGCTGTCATTCTTCTCAAAAGGCTGGCTCATCCCAGGAAAACGCAAGAAAATTAAACCTTAAAATATTCCTCTTTGCAGCTTGTTCAGGTGCTATTTCCCTTGGATCTCGCATATTTTTTACCAATGTTGATACAGGATTTCTTTTAAAAATATCATAGAATTGCTTATATTGCTTGTGTTTTCTTCGGATGATTTGGTGGACAGAGGAAAATGTAATAAAAAAAGGGGAAAATAGGTTGAATTTTTTATGATTTATTCTCAAAAACTTGGAAACCTAATAAAGTGGGATGTGATTTGAATGTAGGTATAGCTCTAATATAGGACTGGTGTGTAGTCATCTCCAAAACACAACACATTCAAATCCTTTGATCAACTTTTAATTATTTTGTAAAAAAAAACAGAATTAGTAATTTAATGTAACATATAACATGATTTCTGCTCAACATTTTCAGTCAGTGACAAATCTGTAAAACAATTAAAATTGGAAATTGGAAATTTTAATAATGTGTTTCGAAAATGATGAAATGTAAATCTATTCACTGCCTGTTATCACAATGAACTATGTAACAGTTGGTGTTCTGTGGATTATTGTGGTACATCCAGGAGGAGAAGAAGACTATTTAACTCATTCACCCCAAAAAATGCATAATGAACTATTCCAAACTAAGAATTGGAAGAGTCTAGATGTGTCTCCAGGGGTGAATGAGTTGATCAGTCGATGATCTGCAGATAATTATTGTATAGCGGGCCATAGAAAGAGGTGTTGTTACGGGAGAGGGACTGGTGGTGTTAAAGGTCAAACTGTAGCTGGTGGTGGTTCAGGGGTCAAAGGTCAGGGTTGTGGGTAACAATATGTGGTGTGGGGGTCAGGATGGCGCTACTGACCAGATTGGCGTGATCACTGAGGCATGAAATTGTAATCTTTTGGCTGACCCCAGACTAGCTGTGTGACCCCATACCTCTCGGCCAATCGTGTGCTTTCTGTGTGCTGTGACCTATGAACTGCCTCCCTGACAACTGTGTGCTGCTTTGCCACACTACGGTGGCCATGGTGGTAAGATGATGCTGTGCCATTGCCTCTGTTTTACACTGTACACTATAACCCTAACTGTGTCTAACTCTTGTTGAAAATGTCTTCTGCTGATATTTATCATTAATTTGATATCCATAAAAAGTATTTATGAAAAAGAAATTATTTCAATTTCAGATCATTTAACTATCAAATCAAATTCCAGGATTATTATTTTTTTCAATAATTTATGTAATTAACTGTGAATGTCCTCATTGATGTGTCAGACTGAGCTGAATTGGTGTAGTTAATCAATATGACTTTTGAATGATGTTTGATGTTGAAGTTATGTTGCAGATTCTTTTCTTCTGTATCATGTTAAATTTTGATTGTTAGTGTCGGGAACAGAAAATATTTGTTAGAAGGAAGTTCAGTGGGGAAGCCTCCACATTATAATATACGCCATTGTAAGAGCAAACAAATCACTAGAACATGCTCTGTTTTTAGGATATATACAGTTTATTGCTATTATGTTGGATGTCTACAAAAGTTGTGTATTTGTCCATGGTATAATGTTAATTTACTGGTTCAATTATCTATATTTTGTAATTCAAAGTTGATAAGTATCTTGTACAAACGTTCCTGAACACTGTACCAGTTTCTTACTCTCTAACGATTTACCTGTAACTCTACATTTCAGAACACCGCCCAGTAGTCCACGCAGCAGAAGTCCCAAAGTGATCTATTCCGGCATGCACTGTATCTTTGAATCACCCGAGAATGACATTGATGCAAGTACCGATACGCAAATTTATACGTGATCAGACGGTGACTTCGGATGGTGTTTGAGGAGTTGTCTAGTGATCATAATAAATCAATCCAAGACCAGAACTGATTCTACAACCGACATCACCAATGTACATTCTTTCACATACCATGACATAATTGTGTTTCATTGTCTGTTAATCAACTTGCTTTTAACCAGATCTACAAACTTCCTGGCTTAAGATTAAGTGAAAAAATATTTTTTAAATCAGAATTGATAATTGACTCCAGGTGAATAAAATGAGCATTTCCACTTTGATTTCAACAAATTTTATTGTTCAGAAAACAAATGGATTGGACAACAGGCAAGCCTATATTTCCACTCTCACACTTTTTGCTAATGTTTTGACATTTAAACTGTGGTTAGCCTTTTGAAGTAGTAATTTATGTCTGGGGAGTAATTTCATATGTCAAGGCAGTGGCCTTTAAAACCACAGCAGTTATTGAGTAATATCTGAACAGCTAAAGATCTGAACAACACAATTATATTTTATCTTTACTCTCTGTGATAAATTGTTTACAAAATTTTATTATATCTTAAATCATGTATGTACAATGTAATAATTACTAGATATTTTCACTAGATAATTTTAGATATGCAGTTTATGCTCCAATGCCACAAGAGTTTACAGAGATTATAAATCGTCTCTTGGCATGAGCTGCCCCAGGATTTATGCTTTGATTGAGCTTACAAGTGCTAAGAAAATGGAATGATTTATTTTTGTGAATGACGTTTAACCTTTCAAGGTTAGTGTTACCGTAAGTTACCTAGTTTGCACTGTACATGTGTCTGTTAGTGGGCAGTAGGTGGTGTGGCCACAGGTACACATCCTTAGCAGGTAAAATAGTCTACCGACACCAAGGTATCTCTGTTATTGATTTAATTGTTATACCTTGATGTTACACATTATTTGTGCAACATCACAGAATATAAAAAAAATCTCAATGATGTTGTATTCAGCCTAAATTGTTTTTTACAATGACATGTTTTATAATAATTGGCCTGGATTTTCTTACTTTTATATAACTGTCGCTGCAATGTTGTAGAAAATGCTACAGCCAACATGTACATGGTTTACACTGATTTGTTATTTACATCTGTTCGGTAGGGATGGTTTCATTGCTTTAAAGATGATTAACAATATCCTGTGTGTGTGTGCTAGGATGGTAGGGTACTAACATTACTGTCTGTTTCTGTCTTATATTTCATAGATCTGTGATTTTCTTTTTCTTGTTAATTGTTAGTGCCAATGTTTGTGTGTTGACCTTTTGGTAAAACATTTCTTGTCTCCAAACATAAGCCCAGTTATTGTAGTTTTATGATAAAAAATTACAATGATAAAAATTACAATGATATCATTTCGCTTTCCTATGTGTGATTGTTTAGCTTCTTGGAGCATTCATATCTTAGAATTGTCCATGCTTTCTTGTATAAGAAATCTATTCCAAGGTGTTTTTGATAAGAAATATACTGTATGTAATGTTCCAGTTGACCTTTGACCTGTTCATTGTATTTATTCTTCATTGTGACCTTAGTACCTGTTCAGTGTATGCAGTGTTCCAGTTGCCCTTTGGACCTGTACAATGTATGCAGTATTCCAAGTGACCTTTGGACCTGTTCATGTATTCAGTGTTTTAGGTGACCTTTGACCTGTTCACTGACTTAAAGTGATATTATTTACATTATTGTTGTGTAGGTGAACATTATAATTTTTATCATTTCGCTTTCCTATGTGTGATTTTTTTTTCCAGATAGAATATTTGGGATTTTTTTTTATAAACATCAGTACCTTTTGAAGGTCAAAAGTGACCTGTGAAAGGCCATACCAACGACCTTGTGACATTGACTCCAATGTTCAGGTGTGAAGTGATGACGTTCAGGTGTGAGGGACGACGTTCAGGTGTAGAGTGACGACATTCAGGTGTAGAATGACGACATTCAGGTGTAGAGTGACAACGTTCAGGTGTAGAGTGAAGACGTTCAGGTATAGAGTGACAACGTTCAGGTGTAGAGTGACAACGTTCAGGTGTAGAGTGACGACGTTCAGGTGTAGAGTGACAACGTTCAGGTGTAGAGTGACGACGTTCAGGTGTAGAGTGACAACGTTCAGGTGTAGAGTGACGACGTTCAGGTGTAGAGTGACAACGTTCAGGTGTAGAGTGACGACGTTCAGGTGTAGAGTGACAACGTTCAGGTGTAGAGTGACGACGTTCAGGTGTAGAGTGACAACGTTCAGGTGTAGAGTGACGACGTTCAGGTGTAGAGTGACAACGTTCAGGTGTAGAGTGACGACGTTCAGGTGTAGAGTGACAACGTTCAGGTGTAGAGTGAAGACGTTCAGGTGTAGAGTGACAACGTTCAGGTGTAGAGTGACGACGTTCAGGTGTGAAGTGATGAGGTTCAGGTGTAGAAAGCGAACGTTCAGGTGTAGAGTGACGACGTTCAGGTGTAGAGTGACGGCGTTCAGGTGAAGAGTGACGACGTTCAGGTGAAGAGTGACGACGTTCAAACTATGACAGTTAAACGGAGAGAAGATTCCTTCAGCTAGCAGTGACCTTTTTGTTTGGAAGCCAATTTCAAACATCATGACAGTGACCTCTATAAGTGGTCTGTGACATTTAGACCAGAGGCTGGACAGATATAGATCTGAACAATACAATTATATTTTACGTGTTCTATCTGTGATAAATTGTTTACAAGATTAATGTTTAAGATCATATTTGTATAGACTATATTAATTACTACATCTTTTACTGTGATGCCAAAATGAGATGTGTCCAGAACTTTATGTGGTGGAGGCTGTCTCCACACTAATAAGGAAATGTGGAGGTAGGTGTTATGTTCTGGTGCCAAAGTTTGTATTAATACCAGTGCCTTCTACATTCCCATGGATAAATTTGCTCATATTTTGTGTTTTCATTTTTTTTTTTTATACAAGTTTTAATGTTATTGTGTTGTGTGGGAACTTTGTTAGATGGTCAAACCTCAATATCACAAAACCAGTAAATGCTTATCATCATTTCAATTGAGTTATTTCTTGGTGCCTACTGACATACCTTAGTATAAAAAGGCCAAACAAACAGGAATCAATCTTATCTAAAGTGTACAGTTGATTAAGTTGAGATGGAGCATAAAGTTATACTTATTCTGATATAAAAAAAAAATGTATTGCATAAATTCCATCATTTCATTGAGATATTACTGGGGGATAAATGCTACATCACAGATACCTTTGAGTTATCTCCCTTTAGATTTCACTATCATTATCAAATACCTGGTCATTTAACTCTTCTGGAACGGAGGTTGTATTACAGTAAGGTAGCATATAGCCTTAAAATAAAGACAGCAGCTAAGGACTTCAGGAGGTTTGCACAGATGGTACCTTGTCTTTATATAGCTACCAAGTATGCTCAGACAGTGCCATGTCATTATGCTTCGGAAAAGTAATGGACATAATCTGTGAAAGTTAAGACTTCAAAATGTTGTTGCAACAGACACTGAATTTCATTCATTTCGATAAAGGCTCAACATTTTTAATAATTAATTACAGATATGGTGGTGTTGTAAATTTTCTTTATCTTTATTCAGTAAGGCAGATATAGATGATACTAAGCATATCGGACAAAATTTCCTTCTTTATTTTGAATGGGTATAGATTTGGAAGGGTATTCTGTAGGCATGGGTAGACTCCCATCCCTGGGTAACTTAATTGTAAAGAGTCTGAAAATGATTGTTTAGGTATTGTATATCTCGTGCTGTATTGGTTGTATGCATCAAATGGATATATATCTTTGTATGTGAAGTAGAAATGAAATAAAGAGCACTATTTTCAGCTGGCGTCCTCCGTAGTTTTCGATGCTTTTAGTATTAGGGATGACAAATGCTGAATGCATACACTTCAGCTTTAAGACTTGTGTTGTCAGGAGGGACAGATGCTGTGAAGATATGTACGATATGTTTAGACAGATACTCTAAAGACAAATTTATATGATTATATATACTGTAAAAGATACCAGGGTAGCTCTAAGCAAAGATGGCATAATTAGTGACTGATTTAAGCAAATAAATACTGTATGCAGAGCAATTTTGCAAATCTTCAACTCAACATTTCTCATCAAGAAATACTACAGACAAAAGAGCACAAAGAGGTTGACTACATCTGTGATGGAGAGTTGTCTTCACCAATTGTTTTGGAAAATGAAGAAAATAAGATAAAATTTGACTAGGCCATATATACAAAATATATGATATTTTGCATAACCCAACAAGAGAATTTTAGCTCACCTCACCTGACTGGTGAGCTTATGCCATTGCATAGCGCTCATCATCTGACAACGTTTCTATTTGAAACCTTATTCCCACTGAATGACTGCTCAGATTGCAACCAAATTTGGTATGTTACATCCTTTGGGCAAGTAAATTAAATTTGCGTAGTGGAAGTGTGTGTATGACCCCAGGGGCCAGAGGAGCGTGACATAATGTGGGCTCAATAAAGGGCAAAATAAGACAATTTCATCTCTAAAAGCCTACTTCTGCTAAACAAATTTTACAGATTTCATTCATAGTTAGTCTAAAACATAACTTGAGCAAGGCAATTATGATTTATAGAAATATAGACTGCATCACCTGGGACCAGAGGAATGGGACTTCAAATATCAATCTAGGTCATGTTTGCTTCAAAATCCTTCTACTGCACAGATTGGAACCAGGTTTGATTATAAACATCACTAGGGAAAACTAATGATATTTTGTATAAAGGAAGATGGAGACCACAAGGGCCAGATGACATTACTTTAAAAAAAACACGTAACAAAACAAAAGATGTCCCTACCATACCACCACTTACATGTGTAGTGGGCATGAAGAGATGAATACATTTATGCTAACGAGTTTGGTCCTGTGGTCCTGTCCTGTCCAAGGAGCTTGGTTCCTGAGTCACAGCAAGGAAACAGTTGAGATCCTCATCTTATGACAATATATGTAATTGCTGTGCTTGAAGAGACAAATACACTAATGCTACCAGCATTGGCTCAGGGGTCTGGCCCCAACCCCTGGGAATCACTCCCAGGTAATTACATAGAAACAGGTGATATACTCATCCTATACACTTATACATACTTATAATATTCATAGGCATGAAGACAGGAATATTCATTTATACTACAAGGATTTGCCAGGGGCTCCAACCGTATTCTTGGTACTTACTCCCTTGATCACAACATAGAAACGGTTGAAATCCTACCCTATAACCATGTGTACTGGATACTTTGGTCAACACATGGAAAGAGTTGAAATTTCCACCCTTTAATCCATTAAACAATTGCTAGACATGAAGAGACGAAAATGGTTGTACTGCCAGGACTGGCTCAGAGGTCAAACCCCAATCCTTGGTTCTTAATCTCTGTAACCTGTCCCACCTCTGAGATTTACTCCCTGGGTGCTAACATGTAAACAGCTAAAACCCCAACCTTTAACCATATACACTGTATACAATTAAGATGGATAAATCCATGCTACTATAAATTACTCAATGTTCTAGCCTTACCTCTTGGTAAATACTTGTGGGTTATAATGTAGAAACAGTTGAATCCTCAACTTATAAACCATTGCAAGGCAGGAAGAGATTAATAAATTCTTGCTACTAGGATAAGCTCAGGGGTCTGACTTCGTCTTTAGAGAACCCCTGCAAGTTCTGAAAAGAATAAACCTGTTCTATCCAATTGCATATCGTAAGAGGTAAGAATTATGGGGGTCCCCAAAAATCGGGGTCTTCTGCCTAGAGGACATCGAAGAATCAAGAACTGATCTGCTGCCCCCATTGCAACCCTCGGGATCCATTTCTTTCCCTTTCTTACTCCCCTACTTATACTTTTGTTGGTGTTTCTATAGGCATTCTTCTCACGACTATAACAGTTGCGAGGATGTAAACCCCCACTAACAAAACCGATATCGTCCCTGGTGCCAAACTTCCTGTGCCATTACATAGAAATAGTTGATACCCTATAACCATATAATAACTCCTAGGCTTGAAGAGATGATTCCATTCTTGCTTCCAGGTTGACCTCACCTGGAAGATTTAATTCCTGTATAATAACGAGGCAACAGTAAAAAAAAGCAAGCTGTAGCCATATACCGGTATACAATTGCTAGACATAAAGAAACCAATATACTCAAGCTGCTAGGATTTGCTCTGGGGTCCGGCCTTGCCCCTGGGTACTTACTCCCTTGGCAATAAGGTGGAAACATTTGTAATCCCCACCTTGAAACCTTGTATACAATTGCTAGGCATGAAGAGAAGAATCCACTCTTGCTATTAAGATTGGCACTAAGGCCTATCATCATCTCTTTGGACTTGCTTACTGGATCATTACATTGACCGGTTGATATACCCACACTATATATGACGATATATACAAAAGCTATGCTTGAGGAGACGAATATACTCGTACTACCATGATTTGCTCTGAGGTCGCGCCTCACCCCTAGGTACTAACTCCTTGGGTCATAAAAGGAAAGAGTTGAATCCTCATCAAATTACTATATACATGTATATACACTCATGCTACCATGTTTCGGTCACACTCCTGTTCAATTACTCCCTAGGTCATAACATGGAAACAGTTAAGATCACCATATCCATATATAACTTATTGGGCATTGAGAAACGAATTCAGTCATGGCCTTGTTGTCTTGCCCTCCCCTATGGATTCAGTCC